CCAAGCGTATCGACAATTTGGCAGTTTTAAAATAGTTTTTCAAAATTTATTTGTAAATAATTTAAAAAAAAATTTTTATTAACGATTTTATTTAGATTGAATATTTTTGTATTAGTTTTCTTATAATTTTTTAACTATTACTATCGTTTAACTGATCAAAAGGCATTTAGTGAAACCAATATTTTTTTTTTACATTATAAAACTACGTTTAGAGTGTACTCAACGTGTTGTATGATTTAGCAGTTTAGTTTTACTGCTAAATTAAGTTACCAAAACCAAAGATTGTACAATCATTACCACCAGAATACATGTTTATGTATTTAGTATTTATGTTAGTTGGTAGAAACAAATGTACCCATATAAGTTGACATTTTATTCTTGACTAAAATGAACAAACAAATGTACTTTCTATGTAAATTTCTAGAACTACACCATTAGACAAAACTATAATTAAAATTTATAATTATATTTGTTGATATGTCGAGAGTATATGAAAAACAGAAAATTAATACATTTTACAACATTATTTGTATTTTATTTATTTTTTGGTTGGCTTACCTACTCGTGTAGCAGTTTTACCGTTCAGTTTTGTTATTTTATTGTTTTTGTCTTAATTTCTAAATAAATAAAATGTGTTTTTATACCAAAATAAATGAATTTAATATGCTGACTGAAGTGAAAAATAAATTATTTTTTATCTCATAGAATTATATAACAGAGAATTTAAAAATAATAATACTGATTTTCGAACAAAAAAAAAAGGATGATTTGTATTCTGTACTCGTTCGACCTTTTTTTAATACAAGTTTAAATAAATTTACTGTTTGGAAAAATTTTAAATATAAGGTTTTCAACCAAACAAATTAGATGATGTTTGATATTAATAAACATCTAATGGGTATAGAATTAAAACGTTTCGTAAAAAGTATGTTACAAGAAACAACTTGTAATTGTTTATACATGTATATATTATAATAATTAAATTGATTGTTCTCTTCGATTTTTTTACAAACTAATGCGTTATTTAAAATGTATGAACTAGTTGTTTGGAAGATCTTATTAATTGTGTCTGTTAAGTGTAAGTGTAACGTTATGGGTTTTCTTACCTACTCGATGAACGTTTACCTTCCTTAACTATAAGGTGTAACACGGGTCGGTTTGATTGATAAATGTTTAATATAACAATATTATTAACATTTTTTGTATGCATCTATGATGCGACCATTCATTTATGAAGTATAAGAAATTGTATTTATATAAATTTGTGTAAAAATCAACCCAAAATTCATTCGTTTTGTACTTTGTTTTTTTTTATATCATTGTAATTTGTGCAAATATTGAAGAAAACAAATTTTTTATATTTTTATGTTTCTTAGGTACTATTAAATTGTATGAGATTTATTTTGGATATTTTAAATTTTTTTCAACGGACAGCACACAATTAAATTATAATAAATGTCTACCATTTTCAGCTGCCCCATGAAAATACCTACATTTTAAATCTTAACGCGATTTTGTTTTTTATAACACAAAAAAATATTAAAAAAAAATATGATGTTAATACAAACCCTTGAAATGAAATTAGAAGGACCAAATTGGCCGAGTGTTTATGTTATAAGTTGCAAAGATCATTAATAAGTTCCAGGGCCAATTACCAACAGTTGATTTATTGGATAATAATGGATATAATTACAGCGAAAAAAAACACAAATATATTTAATTAAAAATCATTACATTGTCGGAATAATAATACATTTCATTTTGAGTTTTAAATAATTATAAATTGAATGCATTGTTTTGTAAAACCCCCACAAACATTGATTAATGTTATTGGCAGTATAATAGTTGAACTGATTTGAAACTTGTTAAAAAAAAATCTTACAAAATCATGTCTTATAAAATATAATATGTAAAATTTGGAAGGTCTTTAGGATATTTCCTAACAAATGCAAGTGGCCATTAATTGTATTGAAATATGTTTATTGTTTAAGCTCATAAAAAATATCGAAGTTAGAATATCACAAAAAAAAATCAAAAAAAAAAACTAGGGTTTCGTTGACTATGCATATCAATGATTTTAAAAAACCAAATTAATACATTTTTTAATATGAAAATCTAAAAGCAGCAAACTAGACAAGTCCATTTTTATCAAGGAATAGATATCTACATTTTCATAGTACAAGCATTAAATTTGGGCTATTACTTGCGAAGATGATAAAAAAAACATTGTTTACACCAATGGAACTATACCAATGGTCTAAAGAATTTTACTTTGAACGTTCTGAACAATTTTAAAAAGTAGACTTGTCTGTTTGTTGCTCCGAGATCTACATTTATATACCTTTACAAGTAAAACCATTAAACCTTTTACAAGTATATATATTTTAATTTATTATATTTAAATTAAATATAGTGTAGGTACTAAAAATTACTGTTGATATTGTGAAGACCCTATCAATGTCTATGACCACTCAATTTATATTAAAAAATAATAATTAGTGTTGGTTTTTATTAAAGAATAATGATACTGTAATACATGTATTAGTTGAATACAAAATTACCACGCAAAGTATATTTACCCTTATAATATGTTTCTAGTCAGTATTCTCTATGTTACGTTAATTTTTTTGTAATAAAATTAAGTTACTTAAATACACATTCTTTATTTTCATTATTTTATTTGGTAACTGTTATCAATACTGATTTACTTAAAATTTTCAAAGGGATGAATATTTAATTCTATGATTATGTTGTACTTTTCTACTTATTCGGGCCATCTTAATTTTTTTTTCTTAAAAAATAACTTTCAGAGTATCCCTATTGCTATAGTAGTATGCTATAATATTTTATATACCTACAATATTAACACATTCACACATTATATATTCTTTAAATTCAATAAACAAGTAGACTAATCGTCTTACCTATTTAAATTTGAAATATTATAATGATGACCTATGTAATTGTGAAATTTGTTTAAAAAGTTTTTCATCAAAATCAAACCTGAGGAGACAGCGTCGCATCCATACGGACAAAAAGCACTTTAAATGCAATGTCTGTGAAAAAACATTCGTTCAACAAAATAATCTTAAAAAACATAAAGCTGTGAAATCAGTTAAAAATCTTATGGTCGCAAAAGTTTTCTTAATAGACTTAAAGCAAAAGCACACGACTAAAGCCTCATAAACCTCTCGTGACAATTTGAAAGTTTTACAATAGTTTTAGTAATAATTTTTCATTGTTTTTATTTTTTTTTTTTACGATTTAATTTGAATTAATGATATACGAATGTATACGTACAATTTGGGGCTGAAGAAATGTTCAAAATTGTACAAAACTATAGTAGAGCCAGCAAAGATAAACCTACTACCGATAAACATTGACAAAACAAAAACATATCTTAAATCCTTTCCACAAAAAGGAGTAGACATTTCTTCTTTGTTCCACTTTTTCAAGCAAAATTTTAGGGATATAGGTCGGAAAATTAGACCGAAGGTAGATCTAGAACGGAATTATAACATTTACAATTTTATCAAAAATCGGTGGTCAAGCATTTATTTTAAAGTGATTATTTATCGTTTTGAGTTATCATAATTCCTGTAGACCTGTGACCTCCAGTGATCCTTACCCAATATGCCCCGACTCCACTGTACTGGCTTTCTTTAACAGCAATTTTTTGTTATTATTATATTAAATATTAATTTTACAAGTGTGAGAGTCTGTGTATTCTAACACAATGGGTATTGTATACTTCCTAAAACGCATGACAGTTTACCTCCATCTGTGGCAATCACTCGTTATCACACAAACACACACTATCACAAATCTGTGCATAAAATGTCGGCGTTATCATTCGGTTTGCACTTTGCATTAAAATCACAATTATTATTAAATACAAGTTTTGTTTTTGTTAATAATCGAGATTTCTTTTTGTACCTACACACTAAATTTCTGTTAATTATAACTAGTTAATTTAGATTTAGCGCCATAAGTACAATTTGTTTTCAGTATTGGTGCCACAGATCCGATTCGTGATAATCTCTAGATTTTAATCATAATAACTTGATCGAATTCTGTGATTATGTAATTTATAGGTACTATCGTATTGGGCCGTGTTCCTGTTATTTCGTTTCAATGTGCGTTACAATTGAATTTTGTGTTACCAGTTGTTGTTAATCATTTTATAGAAGTTTTTATAAGCAACTCTGGGCAGTGGTTTGAGATTCTACGTTGTGTGAGTACCTACCGTTTTGTATTTCTAATTGAATTAGATTATTGCCAAGTTTTTTGTCGCCCGTTGACTTAAAATACTACTTGTGAATAAATAGAATTATAATTTATATATGTTTGTTTATACTTATTATTTACTCAGAGTTGAGTCAAGTGATTCGGGATCAACGCCACCTTAAATTTATCTAGTCGTTCAAATGGACTATAGTCTAGCTTTAATCTTTATCGTGTTTGCGTCTAATCTACAAGTAATACTTGTAGTTTTGTGTTATTTGTCTAATTTGAGTAAATTAAAATTTAGTTTTAAATATTTAAAAGAGTAAAGAGAAATATGAACTTTTCTTGAGTAACTTAATCCACTTATCTTTTCCTTTTCCTATAGTTATAGCTTGTTTTTAAGCTACTATTCATTATTAGGGTTTATATTATATAAACATTAGAGATTATTTTACTTGTTAACGATAAGTTAAAATTTTCAGTAAATTATATACTCTTTTAAAATAACTGTTTGGTAAATATAATTTCAGTTATATATATACAATGAGTAAGGATTTAGTTGGTCAAATGGGCTATCGCCTAGCTTTGATCTTTATCGTGTTAGCTTTTCACTTACAAGTCATACTTGTAGGCTTGTGTTATTTATCTAATTAAGGTAAATTCAAATTTAGTTTTAAATATTTAAAAAACAATAGTTAAAATTGTACAGTTAAGAATTCCTAATAATCCTATATATGTAAAGAATTATAACTGATGTTAAATGTCAATTATAGAATTTTGAAGCGGTATAGTATGTTAAAAATTAAACATGAAAATGATGAAACAGAAGAACACTCCTTGGAAAAAACGTTTGAAGTCAATGAACCTAAACCGTTAGATGTGCAGCTCATAAACAATGAAATTTCTACAACAGAGGAGTGTTTGGTAAAAAAAGAAGTCGACAATACTTATGGGTAAGGCGATTTTTATATCAATTCGTTTTTTATTCTAAAGAAAGCTATTAAACTACTTGTAATTATGTCGACCTCCGTAGTTTAAAAAAAAATGTTATCAATTATGTTTCAAATCATTTTCAAAATAGTTGTTATCATTGTGCTTACACAATTATTTTCGACGTTATAAAGAGTAAAGAGAATTATGAACTTTCCTTGAGTAACCTTAATCCACTTATCTTTTCCTTTTCTTCTATAGTTATAGCTTGTTTTTAAGCTACTATACATCATTAGGTTTATATTATATAAACATTAGAGATTTTTTTAAACTTGTTAACGATGATTTAAAATTTTCAGTAAATTATATACACTTTTAAAATAACTACAGATTGGTAAATATAATTATCAGTTATATAATACATGAGTAAGGTAAACGCCACTTTAAATTAATCTAGTCGGTCAAATGGTCTGTCGCCTAGCTATAGATCTTTATCGTGTTAGCTTTTCACCTACAAGTCATACTTGTAGGCTTGTGTTATTTATCTAATTAAGGTAAATTCAAATTTAGTTTTAAATATGTTAAAAAAACACAAATAGTCACTAAAATTGAAATTTTATCATTATATGTTAGTTAAGTCTCCTAATAATCCTAAATATAGCACAGAAATATAACTGATGTTAAATGTCAATTATAGAGTTTTGAAGCGGTATAATATGTTGAAAATTAAACCTGAAAATGATGAAACAGAAGAACACTCCATTGAAAAATCTTTTGAAGTCGTTGAACCTAAACCGTTAAATGTGCAGCTCATAAACAATAAAATTTCTACGACAGAGGAGTGTTTAGTAAAAAATGAAGTCGACAATACTTATGGGTAATTCGATTTTATTTATGATTAATTTTTTATCCTAAATGAAGCTATTAACTTCTTATTATGTTGTCCTCTTATATACATCCATTGTTTTTATCGATGTTAGCATTTCGTTATTCAACTTGTTTTAGGAACTACTTGTTCATATAATAATAGATTGTTTTAAAACTACATCTTCGTATTATCAATCTAATGTTAAATCACACTGTAATACCACATTATGATAGCGTACATTCGCACGAGACATACCGTGTTATATATATATATATATATGTACACATCTATACATATCATATTACCATTTATTTTTTATCATATATGAAACTATTAACTTGTAATTATATGTTGTCCTCTTCTATACACCCGTTGTTTTTATCGATGTTAGCATTTCGTTATTAAACTTATATTAGGAACTACTTGTTCATATAATGTTAGATTGTTTGAAAACTAAATCTTCCTCTAATCAATATAATGTTAAATCAAAATACCTAAAAAAATAAAAATTGTAAATATCTAATTGTGTGTATGATGTCTGTAGTACCACGATTAGTTAGCTTATGTTCGCACGAGACTTACAGTGTTATATATTTATATATATAAACAAATTCCAACATTCTTCTGTTAAAACACGTGCATACGCTTTGCGTGAACCTAAATTTTTTATTTTTTCCAAAATTTAATTTTAAATAACATTTACTATCTGTACATAAAAAAAGATACAATAAGCAAATATGGTAACTATGTAAATAAATTAATTGGAGACTACGAGTGGGGAAGCTATCTAGTGATAACATGGGGGGGTCCCTTACACCTAAAATTACAAAAAAAAAACTTTTGATATCCACGCTACACGCAAATACATACACACAGGGATAATGGATATTATGTATATTTATTATTTATTATTTTTATTAAGCTCTAGTATTTTATCTCTGATTTTTATTATCTTTTCTCTCATATTTTATCACTTATCTCTAATCGTTGACCAGAACATATCCATGTCAAAAACATAGTTTAGATATTTCATGTGAATTTTTTTATTTCTACCAAGTTCAGGGTTGTAAGAACTCGGTCATTAATAAGTCTCAAGGTACTCATTAAAATGTAAAAGTGGACATAAAACAGAGTAGAATTTCTAAGTTTCAAATCTTATGACATTCGGATGTTATAAATATTCTAAAAAGTGTAAACGTCTAATTAAACGATTCCAAAATATTTTTATTTTGCTGGATAATTTTAGGCACTACAATAAAATAAAAATCTTTGTATTTCATCTAATATCAATAAAAACGATGCGTGTTTGATGCATTGTACATTTAACATTAGTAATATTTTTCATTGCTATATAACATTAAAATATATTGATCCTAAATTAATCTATTTTGTTTCATACATGTTGCAGTGTTCATTTTATGTGTAAAGCGACCGATACTTGGAATAATACAAAAATTATAGATTGTAGTTTAATTGAAACTATAAAAAACAATGCAGAGGAAAAAATATACAAAATACGTCGGTTCGACTGCAGTATATGTCAAAGGAGATTTACAACCAAAAATAATATAATCCGGCATATTGCGAAAGCGCATTCCAGTACTTCCATTGAAAAGAAAGCACCTCAAAAAAATAAAGTCAATCATCGTAACAGCAGAATGAAAGAATATGCTCAAAACAATAATGAACTATTTAATTGTCGTATTTGTTTAAACAGTTTTTCATCAAAGTCAAATATGAGAAGACATTCGTGCATTCACACGGAAAAGCCCTTTAAATGCGATATCTGTGAAAAAGCTTTCATTCAACAATCTGATCTCAAGAGACATGCACGTATACATACCGGCGAGAAGCCCTTTAAATGCGATTTCTGTAGAAAGTCTTTTTGTGACCAATCTAACCTCAAAACTCACGAAAGAACACATACCGGCGAGAAATACTTTAAATGCAATGTCTGTGAAAAAGCGTTCATTCATCAATCTAATCTCAAGAGACATGCACGTATACATACCGGCGAAATCCCTTTTAAATGCGATGTCTGTCAAAAGGCTTTTTGCGACCAATCTTACCTCAAAATTCATAAAAGGATACATATCGATGAGAAACCCTTTAAATGCAATGTCTGTGAAAAAACTTTCTGTCAACAATCTGATCTCAGGAGTCATGCACGTATACATACCGGCGAGAAACCTTTTAAATGCGATATCTGTGAAAAAACATTTGGTCACCGGTCGTCCCTCAATTATCATAAACGCATACATACCGGTGACAAACCTTTTAAATGCGACGTCTGTAAAAAATGTTTCAATACACAATTTAACCTGAAGAAACATGCACGTAACATTCATTCAACAATCCAATCTTAAGAGACATGCACGCATACATATTGGTGGGGTACGATACAAATGCTCAGCCTATGATAAATCAAATGGTCGCCAAGATACTCTTAAAAGTATTACCTATAAGTAAGCCATTAACATAAATATGTCATTTTAAATTTACTTTTTTTAAGTATCACATGAGATATTTATAGTTGTTATATTTGTCAAATGTAATATTTAATTTTCATAATCTACACATGCGTCATAGTTAAAAATATTGTAACTTTTTTTATTTTGTGTTATAAGATTTTAGTTGTTTTCAATATTTTCTGTTCGCTTTGAAGAGAAATAGTTTATAATATATGTAAATTTGTATTTTAAAATTGAATATTAATTTAAAAAATGTATTTATTTTTATGCAACGAATCATGTTTATGAAAATTATTATTTATTGTATTGCTTGTAAATTGTGTTAATTTTTTTTTTTTTTAAATTAATTATAGATTTAAAATAATAAGTAGGTAATATAGTTTCTATTCTTAATATAACTGTGTATACTTTAATAACCGTGAAATTCAAAAATACTATTTTTCGTTATATTTTCTGTTTTCAAATAAAAATTACAACATTTTTACAATGTATAATATTTCTATTTAATCGTATATGAGTAGAAAATCAACATAGTCTTTAAAAAGTTTAACTTATAATAATATAATATACAAATACTTTTGCACAACCGCATTTAATGAAACCAATGTGTTTTATACATTATAAACCAGTGTTCAACATGTTATATAATTTGGTAGTTTAGTTGAACTGTTAAATTAAGTAACTTCAGGTTGTAAAAGAATCACCAACAGAATACACGTGTATGTATTTAATATTTTTGTTAGTTGGTAGAAACGTATGTGCCCATAAAAATTGACATTTTATTTTTGACTAAAATGAACAAACATGTACTTATATCGAAGTGTGTGGAAATTTATATTACCCGTATACTGTTGTATATTTAATAGCATAATATTAATATTACTTAACACAATATAATAGATTTAGGTATGTCAACTATTTTCCCCTCTCAATAAAAATTTTAAAAAAATTACTAAACAGCAATTGAAAACGTTACCTAGTTAAAATGTACATTATTTTGTAAAAACCCCAAAAACGTTGATTAAAATTATTGGTAGTATAATAGGTTAACTGATTTGGAATTTGTAAAAAATAAAACGAATAAAAAACAAGTTAAAAAATGTTTTTTTCTATCGAAAGCGTTGACATGAAAAATAATACTCACGTTGGTTTTACAGTGAACAACAAATATGTAAAGCATAAAAGTTATTTTATTTTATAGCATACATAATATATGCACCATGTATGTACCATTGAGTATATATATTTTTATTATACTGAACAATAGTAAAATCTCTGTGTTTAAATATTTTGCCATAGGTGTAGCAAAGGGTTGGCGTTACCCCATACATTGGTTTAGGGTTAAATTTCTTGTTTAGTTAAATTATAAACCTAGTAGTAGAGTTATTAATTGAACAAAAAAAAATTAAATTTTTTAATTCAATTGTTTTTTAAATATCAATAAAAATTTACTTTGTGTGTTGAAATTGCGTTACTTCGTTATAGTTCCAACATTGTTTTACTCATTATTATAAAATTCAGACGATTTTATCAAGAAAAATGACTAGCTCGTTTTTGTGAACAATTTCATGTTAATTTATGAATAATTTTGAAAGATTCGACAAACTAAAAACAAATGGCAATTAGTTGACACTTCACAACCAAAAAACATTTAAAAACTAGGTTATATTATTCATTTTAATAATAATACTTTTAAATTATAAGATAACCATTTAAACATTTTTTAAACATTGACAAAGCAATACCAAATATCATAAATCCTTTCTACTATAAGGGATAGACATTACTTCTTTATTTCATTTTTTCCTGCAAATTTCTAGAGATTTATTTCTGAAAATTAGACCGATCCAAAATTGAAATATAACATATACAATTTTCTCAAAAATCTACGGTGAAGCGTTTACTTAAAAGTGATTCTATCACTTTCAGTTATAATAATTGCAGTAAACCTGTGACCTCTCCGCCCTCACTGTGTCCCAACACCACTGTACTGGCTTTTACAATTTTACAAGTGTGAGGGCCTGTGTATTCTAACACAATTAGCTAGAGGTGTCTCCATAACGGATAAAGCTTTAGGTAAACGCATTAAACGCAGTTGCCATTTGCCACTTGAATCGCTCGGTAGTCTACCTCCACGCTGCGAATTACCTCCATCACTTGCAATCATTCGTTATCACACACACTATGCACCACGTCATCACACACGCTATGCACATTGCACCACGTCATCATACATCTGCCGCCTGTAAAATGTCTGCATTATCATTTGTCGTTCAGTTTGCATTGAAATCACAATTATTACAAATGCAGGTTAGGTTAGGTTATGTTTTTGTTAATAAATAATTATGATTTCTTTTTGCACACTCTATACTCTGAATTTCTGTGAATTATAACTAGTTAGATTCGATTTTTGCAATAAGTGTAATTTGTTTTCAGTATTGGTGCCCCGTCTCTGATTCGCGAGAATCTCTAGATTTTATTCGTTACACCTTGGTCGAATTCTGTGATAAACACCTAACGTAGTGCCTCGTGTTTCTTTATTTCGTTTCAAGTTGCGTTACAATTGAGTTTTGTCTTGCATTTTAATAATTTATTATAAGTTTTTATCAGCAGCTCTGGAAAGCAGTTTACGGTTCTACATTGTGTGAGTACCTATTGTTTTGTATTTCTAATTTATATACATTATTGCCGTGTTCACTGTCTCCCGTGGACTTAAAACACTGCTTGTGAATAAAAAGAATCATAATTTATATTTGGTTGCTTATTACTTATTATTTATCCGGAGTTGAGTAGAGTGATATGGGATCAACACCATTTTAAATTAATCTAGTCGGCAAAATGGGCAATCATTTAGCTTTGATCTTTATTGTGTTAGCTTCTTACCTACAAGTCGTACTTTTTGTTTTGTGTTATTCGTCTAATTTAAGTAAATTAAAATTTTATTTTATATGTTTAAAAAAACAAAATATACTACTCAAAACTTTGATGGTTGTTTTTAAAATAATATGAACTAAATTATTCTTTATTTTTTTATTGTACTCAAGCTTTGGTAACTTAAGCCATGAGCTGTCTTCTTTATTATAACATCATTATTATTACTAGTATTTGTTACTAAATAAAACAATTAAGCTATTGTAGTTGAGTTGTTTTCCGTGATTAAAAAAAAAAAAATTGTATTTATTTCCGGAATCATTTTCAAAATAGTATTAATAATATTGTTTAAACAGTTATTTTCGACGTTATAAGAAGTAAAGAAAAGTATGAACTTTCTTTGAGTAACTTAATCTACTTATCTTCACAATCTTCTATAATTATAACTTGTCAAACAATCCCAGTACGCAATATCTATATTTTTTTAATAACTGTTAAATTATAGTTTTTATAAAAAAAAACAACACTTGTTCGCATTTTTTGTCTATTTTGTAAAATAATTTTAAAAAAATGTAAGGATGTTTTTATATGTATAACACGGTCAGTCTCGTGCAAACGTACGCTAACATAATGTGGTACTGCAGACATAACCGGTTATCATACCTACAAAGATACCTAAAAAGATGTTTACAATTTTATTCTTTTTGGTATTTTGATTTAATATGATATTGATAAGGTGTAGATGTAGTTTTAAATCAATCTATTATTATATGGTCCGGCTTTGACCAACAAAAGGCTCTTATTATTTAACTTCCTCTCTTCTCTTAACATTCAGCCTCCCTTTACCAATTATTTATTAAACACCCGTTCCGTTTCTGTCATTTTTGCAATTCTTTCCTTTCTAAAGATCTTTGGCCTTTCAATTTAATTAAAGTTTATATTAGTTTCATTTAGTTTTATGTATTTACTGGTTGTTTTTCTTCTTTTTGTTTGTTTTTTATCATTTTATATTTATCATTGAAATCATGTAAATACTAATAATGTAACCATACATTTACATTTTACTCATTATTACTGTCTTAATTGTTGAGTCAAATATTTTTTACTAATTAAGGCTAATAAAAATTGTATTCACAGAAATTGCATTCGAAGGGTTTTTCTCCGGTATGTAACATTTTATTAGTACCGGAGGAAAACCCTTTAAATACGATGTCTGTGTAAAAACCTTCAGTCAATAATAGGATCTCAAGAAACATACACGTTATTGATAAAGGCTAATAAAAAGAAAAAGAAAATTATTTGAACAAGTGGTTTTTAACATAAATTTAATGTTAGGTAACGGAAAGCTACATCGATAGCAACGACAGGTTTATAGAGGAGGAGGAAAACATAATTATAAAGTTAATAGTTTTAGTTAAGATAAAAAAATGTATGGCTAATGACCTAAAGGTCGAAGCATAATGATTAGGAAAAAAAAGTAAGATTACCTATAGTCTATATCATTAAAATGTCTAATTAATTTTAAATACATTTTCGATAGTAAAATTAAAAAAGTAAAGAAAGGAATAAAAATTGTATTCACAGACACTGCATTCGAAGGGTTTTTCTCCGGTATGTATCTTTTTATTAGTACCGGCGGAAAACCCTTTAAATACGATGTCTGTGAAAAAACCTTCAGTCAATAATCACTGATCTCAAGAAACATACACGTTATTAATAAAGGCTAATGAAAAGAAAAAAAATATATGAACAAGTGGTTCCAAACATAAATTTAATGTTAGGTAACGGAAAGCTACATCGATAGCAACGAAAGATTTATAGAGGAGGAGGAAAATATAATTACAAGTTAATAGTTTTGTTTAAGATAAAAAAATTCATGGCCTAAAGGTCGAAGAATAATCATTAGGAAAAAAAAGTAAGATTACTTATAGTCTATATCATTAAAATGTCTAATTAATTTTAAATACATTTTCGATAGTAAAATTAAAAAAGTAAAGAAAGGAATAAAAATTGTATTCACAGACATTGCATTCGAAGGGTTTTTCTCCGGTATGTATCTTTTTATTAGTACCGGCGGAAAACCCTTCAAATACGATGTCTGTGAAAAAACCTTCAGTCAATAATCTCTGATCTCAAGAAACATACACGTATACAAACCGGCGAGAAACCATTTAAATGGGATGTCTGTAAGAAACATTCTGCCAATAAAATAATCTCAAGAAACACGCACGCATACATATTGGTAGGTAAATGCTCTATGAAGGTAAGTTTACAACTAGCTTTGTGACAAGAGTTGGAAATTTCAAATTTGATTTGTTTGCCTCTTAAAACGCAGTTTACCTCCACGCTGCGAATTATCTCCATATCTGGCAATCACTCGTTATCACACCCACTTTGCACCACGTCATCGCACATCTGGCTATTGGCATTTCTGCGTTATCATTAGTCGTTCAGTTTGCACTTTGCACTTTGCTTTAAAATCACAATTATTTTAAATACAAGCTAAGTTTTGGTTATGATAAATATTATATAAGATTTATTTTTGTAAAACTGAATTTCTGTAAATCATCACTAGTTAAATTATATTTACGCGCTAAAGGTACAATTCGTTATCAGTATTGTTGCCACGGGTGCGATTCGTGAGAATCTCTAGATTTTAATCATGATAACGTGGTCGAATTCTGTGATAGGTACCTAACATATTGCCTCGTGTTTCGTGTAACAATTTGCGTTACAATAATGTTTCGTCTTGACTGTTAATCATTGATTATTAATTTTTAGTAGCAGCGGTGTACGGTTCTACGTTTTGTACGGTTCTACGTTGTGTACGGTTCTACGTTGTGTACGGTTTTATGTTGTGTGAGTACCTACCGTTTTGTATTTATAATTTATTTACATTATTGCTGTGTTTTCTGTCTTTTCGTTGACTTGATATGTGTTTGCTTACTATTTATTATTTACTCGGAGGTTGAGTCGAGTGATACGGGATCAACGACACTTTAAAATTAATCTAGTCAGTAAAATGGGCTATCGTCTAGCTTTAATCTTTATCGTCTAAGCTTCTAACCTACAAACCATACTTGTAGTTTTGTGTTCATCTCATTTGAGTAAATAAAAATGTAGTTTTAAATCTTTAAAAAATACAGAATAGACCACTGAAAACTTAGTTTTTAGGTTAGTTTTTATTTTTCAAATAATGTTAACTACATTTTTTTTTATTATATCATTATTATGACCATAATATTGGTTACTAAATAAAATAATTAAAATTGTGCAATTTGTCCTATTAAACCCCTATGCATATAAAATAGTTAAAATTAAGTAGTTAAGTCGTCCTATTAATCCTTTATAAACAGACAAATAACTAAGTTAAATGTTAATTATAGAGTTTTCAAGTGATATGTTGCAAATTAAACATGAAAATGATGGAGCAATCGTATGAATTCATTGAACCTAAACCATTAGATGTGCAGCTCATAAATAATGAATTTTCTACAACAGAGGAGGATTTAGTAAAAAATAAAGTCGTCAATAGTTGACGACTTAATGAGTAAGTCGATTTTTTATTTTTTTATCCTAAATAAAATTATTAAACTATTTGTAATTATGTCGTTCTCCGTAATTTAATAAAACCATTTAATTAATGATGTCGCTTGTCAAACAAATCCCATTACTTAATATATTATTTCTTATAATAACTTTTAAAATATAGTTTTTATAATAAAAAAAGACACTTGCTTCCATTTTTCGTCCATTATAAAAAATAAAAGAATGAAATTTATATGTATAACACGATAAGTCTCGTGCGCTAACAATGTGGTACTGCAGACATCATACCCACAAGTAGATGTTTACAATTTTATTTTTTTTGTCTTTTTGATTTGACATTATATTGATAAGAAAAAGATGTAGTTTTAAAACAATCTATTATTATATGAACAAGTGGTTCATAATATTAGTTTGATGTTAGCGGAAAACTAACATCCATACCAACGACAGGTTTTTAGAGGAAGCAAACATAATAACAAGTTAATAGTTTTATTTGGAATAAAAAAATGTATGGCTAAGATGACTTATATGTCGAAGAATAATCATTAAAAAAAATGTTAGATGACTTATAGTCCATATCATTAAAATGTCTATTTACTTAAAATACACTTTCTAGAGTAAAATATGATATTCACTTACATCACATTTAAAGGGTTTTTCGCCGGTATGTATACTTTATAAATTTTGAGCTGAGCCTCTTAACTACCGACGATAATCCCTTTGAATGCAATGTCTGTGAAAAAAACCTTCTGTCAACAACCTGATGTCAAGAAACATACTGGCGAGAACCGTTTTAAATGCGGTATCTATGAAAAAACATTCAGTTTACAATCAACGCTATTTTAAGTTATTCTAGTAGGCAAAATGGTTTATCGTCTAGCTTTAATCTTTACCGTCTAAGCTTCATGCGTACAAGTCATACTTGTAGTTTTGTGTTATTTGTCTAATTTAAGTAAATTAAAATTTAGTTTTAAATTATTAAAAATAACAAAATATATCACTCAAAACTTTGTTGTTTTTTATTTTTCAAATAATGTAAACTAAATTTTCTTTATTGCATCATTATTATTACTATATTTGTCACTAAATAAAATAATTAAAATTGTGCAATTAAGTCGTCATATTAATCATGTATGCATAACCCTAATGTTAAATTCTATTAATGTTTAATGTCAATTATAGAGTTTTGAAGCGGTATAATATGTTGGAAAAATAAACATAAAAATGATGAAACAAAAGAACACTGAAGTCATTGAACCTTAACCTTAAGATGTGCGGCTATATTATTTATAGTCTATTTTATACAAATTTCTATTCAACTTGAAATACAATTTCGATAGTAAAAAATTATATTCACAGTCATCGAATTTAAAGGGTTTTTCTCCGGTATGTATCATTTTATGAGTACCGGTGAAAAACCCTTCAAATGCAATGTCTGTGAAAAAACCTTCAGTCAACAATCTCGCCTCAAAATTCAAGAACGCATACATATGGGTGCGGTACGATACAATTTGCTCGGCCTATGATAAATCATAATTTTTCAATAACTATTTGTTATTATTTTGCAATTTTATTTTTTACTAACGATTTAATTCAGATTTAATTTATTGTTCTTAGTTTTCTTGTAATATTTTAATTATTACTATCGTTTAACATATCATTAACATGGTATGTCATTTTCTATTTAATTTTTCAAAGGTCACACTAATTATTTAGTTTTTATATTTGTATAATGTAAATTTTAATTTGCATAATCTACACATGCATTATGCTAAAAAATATTGTTACTATTCTTATTTTGTAATATAAAATTTTAGTAGTCTTTTGGTTTTTAAGGTAAATTGTTTATAATATATGTAAATTTATATTTTAAAATTGAGTTTTGATTAAAAATATTTGTTTATTTTTGTGCGTCGAATTATGCGACTAACCAATTTGTTTTAGTCAGTTTAAATAACATATAAGTTAACTGGAGGATACAAAGAAAGTTATACTTTTCATCTTATTACAGTAAATATTATTTGACAACAAGATCTTATCTATTAAAAATAATCTCAATTTGTTATTATATCTTAAATACGTTTATTAGAACTAAAATTATAAGTCAAATGTATTTTTTCTTTTTAATTTGTGCTTTTTGTTTACTTAGAAAATATTGATTAAAATCAAGTATGAGTTCAAAGTAATCAAATTAATATTAGGAGAATATTTCTAGAATAAAACTGTTACTTGAACAAAGTAATTATTTTTGTTTGTGAAACTTTTGAGATGTGTACAACAAGCAGAAAATCAATCTATTTTGCAATATTATTTGTGTTTTTTTTTGCATTCAAGTATAAAAAATGGTTTTATTTTTTTTTTTTTTTACTGGCTTGCTCCTGTAACCGTTTCCTCGTTCAGATTTGTTTTTATATTGTTTCTGTCTTATTTCTTGATAATTAAAATGTAATTTTACACTAAAATTAATTATTTTAATGTGATGATTAAAAAACTTAAAATAAATTATTTTCTATCTCATAGAATTATATAGCAGCGATGGAATGTTTATTAAAAATATTAATAAGTAAATACTGATTGTCGTACAAAAAAAAAATGAGTTGTAATTTATATTCTTTCGACCTTTTTTTAATACGAGTTTAATTAAAATTGGCTGTTTTTAAGAATTTTAAATGTAAGGTTTGTAACCATACAAATTGGATGATGTGTAAAATTAATAAACATTTTATAGGTATAGAATTAAAATGTTTTGTAAAAAGTATGAGGTAAAACTAGAAGAAAACTGTTCAACATCTTGTAATTGTTTATAAATGTATACATCATAATAATTAAATTGATTATTGCCTTCGATTTTTAAACAAACTAATGCGTTATTTAAAATGTATAAGATCTAGTGGTTTGGAAAATCATATCAATTTTGTTTCAGCTTTTGCAGTCGGTTTTTTTAATACTATTTATTTTAAGAATTTTCCATTTTTAATTGGTTGACACTGCACATCAAAAAAAAAAAAAAAACAAACTTGGTTATATTATTCATTTTAATGATAATACTCTGAAATTTTTCGGGAAATGTCTTTCGGGCAAGTCGACCAAATATACCTACTTCAATATTTACATTTATTATTAAATAATTGGTAAAAATAATTATGTTCAATATATTTCAAATACAATCAGTAACAGTTTTACATAAGGAATATTATGTACATATCTCTAATACTTCCCTTACAAATAGTATTTTTTTCTAACCAAGCCAGCAACTGCCAATAGAGATTTTAATAAATTATGAAGTGTTAATACTTTAAGAAGTAAATAAAATAAAGTCTTAACATTTCAATTTAAAATGGAGTCTCAGGCTTATAGTCTCATTGGTTCAGTAATTTAGGAAAGTTAAAAGTTTTGTAACTGGAATATTCTTTAAAATTGTACCTACTACCGATGAACATTGACAAAACCAAAACATATCAAAAACCCTTTTCACTAAAAAGGATAGACATTTCTTCTTTATTTCACTATTTCAAGCAAATTTTTACGGATTTAGTTATGAAAATTAAACCTAAGGTATTTTATCACGTTCAGTTATAATAATTCCTGTAAACCTGTGACCGCCCAGTCTCCACTATGCCCCGACCTAACTGTACTGGCTTTATTTAACACCTATTTTTTGTTGTTATTCTTATATTAAATATTAATTTTACAAGTGTGAGGGCCTTTGTATTCTAACACATTTAGCGAAAAGTGTGTCTATGACGGATAAAGCCTTGGGTGAGCTCGATAATTAATTTTGTAGGATTCCGATGAAGGTAAGTACAATAAGCTTTGAGTCGGTAATTTAATTTGTTAATACCTTCATGCAACCAAGTACCTCCATCTGTGGCAATCGCTCGTTATCAAACAAACACACACTATCACATATCTGTCCATACAATTTCTGCGTTGTCGTGCACTGTGCAGTTTGCATTCATATCATAATTATTATTAAATAATAGTTTTGTTTTTTGTACACTCTGAAGTTTTGTGAATTAAACTAGTTAAATTAGATTTAAAGCCATAGGTACAATTTTTTTCTGTATTGTTGCCACCGGTCCGATTCGTGAAAATCTTTAGATTTTAATCATACTAACTTGGTCGATTTCTGAGATTAATACCTAACGTATTGCGTCGTGTTTCGTTTCAATATTTGCATTACAATTTGTTTTGACTTGCCTGTTAATCATCGATTATAAGTCTTTAGTAGTAGCCCCAGTGTACGGTTCTACGTTGTGTGAGTACCTACCGTTATGTATTTCTACTTTATTAACATTATTGCCGTGTTTTCTGTCTTCCATTGACTTGAAATACTGCTTATGAATAAAAAGAATCATAATTTATATGTGGTGTTTTATTATTTATTATTTACCCAGAGTTAAGTAGAACGATATAGGATCAACACCATTTTAAATTAATCTAGACGGCAAAATGGGCAATCGTCTAGCTTTAAACTTTATTGTGTTAGCTTCTTGTCTACAAGTCATGCTTGTAGTTTTGTGTTATTTATCTAATTTGAGTAAATTAAAATTAAGTATTAAATGTTTAAAAAAACAAAATATACTACTGAAAACTAGTTGGTTTTTGTTTTTTAAATAATGTAAACTTAATTATTCTTTATTATATCATTATTATTACTTTATTTGTTACTTAATAAAATAGTTAAAATTGTGCAATTTAGTTGTCCTATTAAACCTATATGGATATACGATACAGAAATAAATCCTCCTCCATAAACCCATCATTGGTATCGATGTTAGCGTTTTGCTATTATTAAACTTATATTAAGAACCACTTGTTCATATAATAATATATTATTTTAAAACCGCATCTACCTCTTATCAATATAATGTTAAATCAAAGTATCAAAAAGAAAAAATTGTGAAATCATTTATTTGTGGGTATGATGACCGGTCAATGTCTGCAGCATCGCATAATTTTTCGAAAATTCCACCACTAAGGATGGCATCAAACACGAGTTTTCTACTTTAAATACGAAATATTTTTCTTTGCTGACCCAAAATACACTCTTTGTTTGTAAGCATAGTAACCACGGTACTCGAGCGAATGGTAGGTGGATGGTGGATGATCAAATGAACAGGCCGATTCTATGTACCACGATTTTGGGGACGCTTTTCACGATTGGGATTGGGACCATTGAGTAAGAGTGGGACATAATCAATATATTGGAATGTATAGATGTAGAAAATAATTAGCCGAATAACTAATAATAATTAGTAGAATAACTTTTTTAAAATAATTTTAAAAAAAAGCCGAGACAGGGTATGCTTAAGCTTTACAGCCTTTTTTTTTTTTACATGCGTTCAGTGAGGCCCGAAGGAAACCCATCTGTGGAGGAATTACTTCCCCCCAGGAATGCTTGGTGTACTGACTTTTTTCATCTTATTTGTAATTATTTTTCTCAACCCTTGCAAACTAAATCACGGGTCGCTGCAGCTTGTTCTTTTATAAAATAGACAAAAAATGCGAACACATGTCGTTTTTTATTATAAAAACTTTACTTTAGTAATTATAAAAAAAATGCATATTAAGTATTGGGGTTTATTGAATTTTTAATAAATATATTTTTTTTCCAATCAAAAATTAATTATAAGTTTTATAAAATATTGATGAATAGACAAAGTAATCTAACTTTTTTTTTTAATTATACAATTATTAATCATCAACATAAACTAACTTCTATTTGATAAAACTAGATAAACACCTTTACCTCAAATACCTCAATGCCCTAATAGTACATTACCTACTTAAAACTTTATAAAAATAAAAATAATAATTAGATACAATTTGTTTTCTATTCTAAAAGGTATTTATAACGTAAATAAAATGCCTATTATTAAATACAGGTGCGGGTGCATTTTCTTTTTAAGATAATTTTAAGATTTTTAACAAAAACATAGATTGTATTTATAAGAATTGTGATTTTTATGCAAAGTGCAAACTGAACGACAAATGATAATGCAGAAATTTTATAGACTATGACGATAATATCTCTGCTAGCATATCTCTAATTTTTAGCCAGACATAAAAAATTATTTATCAGCTGTTTCATTAAAAACATCCGCTTAACCGCACCACACGCACATAATGTCCTCGGTAATGTTCAGCGTCATTCACGCACGCACGCAAAGATATTCTTAATGTCTCCGAGCCAAAAGACATATCCATGTCAAAAATACAGTTTAGTCGTTTCATGAGACTTTTTTTTATTCCTGCCAAGTTTAAGGTTAAACCTAGGCGGTCATAATAAGTGTCAAGGTACTCAATGTAAAGGTAGACTTAAAACAGAGTAGACTTTTTAAGTTTCATATTTTATAGCATTCGGATGTTTATTGTCCATATTCTAACAAATGTGAACGTTACATTGTATTTTGTAGGATAAGTTTAGGCAACTCAAACAAATAAAAATTGAGTAATAGTAGACTTTTGTATGTCATCTAAAATTAATCAAATTAATTCTTTAAAAGGATGCGTTGTATATTTAATATTAAAACTTAATATTAAAACCGCATCTACCATTTATCAATATAATGTTAAATCAAAGTATCAAAAAGAAAAAATTGTGAAATCATTTATTTGTGGGTTTGATGTCCGGTCAACGTCTGCAGCATCGCATGATGTTAGCGTACGTTTGCGTTGGCATAAGAAGTACTGGGTTTTTTTTATATACATATATAGAAAACATTCATACATTAAAATGGAAAAAAAATGCGAACAGGTGTCATTTTTTAAAATATAAACTTAATGTTAACAGTTATAAAAAAAAAAAATCATGTAATAAGTAATGGGGTTTGTTTAATTTTTATTAAATACATTTTTTAATTATCAAAAATATAAATAAAAATTTGAATGGAAAATTTTAAGAAATAGACTCTAAGTAAGGCCCTTATAGTAAAATACTTAAAACTATATGTAATAAAATAATATAAAGTATAAATAATTATTAATTAGATACATTTTGTTTTCTTTTCAAAGAGGTATTTATTATTTTATTACGTAATTAAAATGCTCATTTTTAAATGCAGGTGAATTTTTAACTTATTTTCTTTTAAAGATATTTCCTAAAAATAATATAAATCGTAATTAATCGTAAAATATTTCCTTATAATACCTACTTTACGTAAAACTATTAATTAAGCTTGCTTTATTGTTTTTTTTAAATCTTAACAGGTCAATAAAGTAGAGTATCATTAAATAAATATTTTTTAAATTATTCAATGTGGTGGTGTTTTTTTTAAGAACGGGATTTCACACTGATTTTAATAAAGCAAACAAATTTTTTCTAAGTTCTACTAATCGTTATTTATAGCCCTTCAAAACTCGTCAGTCGGCTCCGCCCAACCCATATTAGCAATCTAGTTTATTATATATATCTATGTGTTTATCTTATCTCTAATCTCTAATATTTTATCTATAATATCTCTAATAGCATATCTCTAACTTTTAGCAAGACATTAAAACTTATTTAATAAAAATAAATTTTTAAAAATGATGCGTGTATGATGGATTGTACATTTAATATTAGTAATATTAATGCTTGCTGTATAACATCAAAATATATTTTTCTTAAATTAATTTGTTTTGTTTCAAACGTGTTGCAGTATTCATTTTTCGTGTAAAGCGACCGATACCTCAAACAATACAAAAACCATGGATTGCAGTTTGAACAAAACTACAGGAAACGATTCTGAGAAAAACATACACAAAATACGTCGGTTCGACTGCAATATATGTCAAAGAAGGTTTACAACCAAAATTAATATAATCCGGCATATTGCGAAATCGCATTCCAGTACTTCCATTGGAAAGGAAACACCTCGAAAAAATAAAGTCAATCATCGTAACAGCAAAATCAAAGAAAATACTCGAAACAAAGATGGCCTATTTAATTGTGGTATTTGTTTGAAAACTTTTTCATTAAAATCAAGCCTGAGAAGACATTGGCGCGTTCATACCGGGGAGAAACCCTTTAAATGCGATATCTGTGAAAAAACATTTGGTAGACAATCTTACCTCAAAACTCATGAACGCATACACACCGGAGAGAAACCTTTTAAATGCAATGTCTGTGAAAAAACATTTGGTGTTCAGTCTTCACTCAACACTCACGAAAGAACACATACCGGCGAGAAACCATTTAAATGCAATTTATGTGAAAAAACATTTTGTCAACAGTTTGATCTCAAGAAACATGCACGTATACATACCGGAGAGAAACCCTTTAAATGCGATGTCTGTAAAAAATGTTTTAATAGACAATCTAACCTCAAAACCCATGAAAGAACACATACCGCCGAGAAACCATTTAAATGCCGTGTCTGTGAAAAAGCGTTCATTCAACAATCTAACCTCAAGAGACATGCACGTATACATACTGGCGAGAAACTATTTAAATGCGTTGTCTGTGAAAAAACATTTCGTCAACAATCTCACCTCAAGAGACATGCAAGTATACATTCCGGCAAGAAACCGTTTAAATGCGATGTCTGCGAAAAAACATTCATTCAACAATCTGATCTCAAGAACCATGCACGTGTACATACCGGCGAGAAACCGTTTAAATGCGATGTCTGTGAAAAAACATTCAGTCAAAAGTCCTATCTCATAATTCATGAACGCATACATATTGGGGGGGTACGATACAAATGCTCAGCCTGTGACAAATCGTATGGTCGCCAAGATACTCTCAAAAGGCATCAAGCAAAAGCACACGGCTCATAGATTCACAAACCTTACGTGGCTATTTGGCAGTTTTAAAATAGTTTTTCAAAATAAATTTGTTATTATTTTGCAATTTTTTTTACTTACGATTTAATTCAGATTTAATATACTTTAATTAGTTTTCTTATATATTTTTTTTTAACTTTCATAATCTACACATGCAATATGTTAAAAAATATTGTTACTATTCTTAATTTTTATTATAAAATGTTAGTAGTCTTTTTTAGTTACTGATGGTTTTTAAGAAAAATGGTTTATAATATATGTTAATTTGTATTTTAAAATTGATTTTTAATTTAAAATATTTGCTTATTTTCATGCGTTGAATTATGCGGACCATGTTTAAAATTCAAAATAAAATGTATTATTATTTCGTCAATTATGATTATATTATGTTAGTTTCATTCATATTTTTTAGAATAAGTTTTTCGTTTTTTTAATTTGAAGAATTATTAAGTTTGAAAGACAGTAAACCTAACCTGACCATTATTAAAAAATGCCATTCGGGAAAGTCAGCAGAATATGCCTACTTCAATATATACGTTTATTATTAAATAATTAGTAAAAATAATTTTGTTCAATATATTTGTGTGATTAGTTCCCAAGAAAACATAATACCGTGTTTGAGAGTAATAACATTAGATTTATATTGAGACTTTTTTTTTATAAACATCTTTTTCAAATAATTATTAAATATTGGAATTTTAAATGATTTATGTACATGGATAAATTATATGACTATAATAAACAATCTGTTTAAGTGTTCGTCAAATATCGTCTATGTTTAAAGAACTATTCGTAAGTGCCACTTTTGTTTGGGCATGCACCATTTTGACGTGGCTAAACATGTTCGTCTAAGACATCGGCTATCCGCCTCTTTGATTGTGACATATTTAATTTGACGGGTTGTTAAATTACTCCGCCTTGTTGAGGCTCGTTTAAGACAATGTAGTTAAAATGAAAAGTATTTTTCACCAAGACTAATACAGTCTAATGGTTAAAGACTTTTAGAAATATAGTATAATTGTTTAGTGTTTTAAATCGTAAAATATAGAATCATTTAAAAAAAAAAAAGGTTTTATTGTGTTATTTCTTTTAATAAGCTTTGATACAAGAGTTTGGAATTTAATTTATTTGCCTCCGAAAATGCACGACAGTTTACCTTCACGCTACAAAGTACCTCCATCTGTGGCAATCACTCGTTATCAAGCAAACGCACACTATCACAAATCTGTCCATACAATTTCTGCGTTGTATCGTGCACTGTGCAGTTTGCATTAAAATCACAATTGAAATAAAAGTTTTGATTTTTAATTAAGATTAAAATTTGTACACTCTGCTGAAGTTCTGGGAATCAAACTAGTGAAACAATTAGATTGAGCGCCCTAGGTACAATTTGTTTTCTGCATTGTCGTCACGGCCCCGCTTCGTGAGAATATCTAGATTTTAATCATAATTACTTGGTCAAATTCTGTGATAAATACCTAACGTACTGCGTTGTGTTTCTTTATTTAGTTTCAAGTTACAATTGAGTTTTGTCTTGCATGTCAGTAATTTATTAGAAGTTTTTATTAGCAGCTCTGGAAGGCAGTTCTACGTTGTGTGAGTACCTATTGTTTTGTATTTCTAATTTATATACATTATTGCAGTGTTTACTGTCTCCCGTGGACTTAAAACACTGCTTGTGAATAAAAAGAATCATAATTTATAATTGGTTGCTTATTACTTATTAACTACCCGGAGTTGAGTAGAGTGATATGGGATCAACACCATTTTTAATTAATCTAGTCGGCAAAATGGGCAATCGTCTAGCTTTGATCTTTATTGTGTTAGTTTCTTACCTACAAGTCATACTTGTAGCTTTGTGTTATTAATCTTACTTTATTTGTTACTTAATAAAATAGTTAAAATTATGCAATGTATTTGTCCTTTTTTAACCTATTTGGATATACGATACAGAAATAACACTTGTGTTAAATGTCAATTATAGAGTTTTGAAGCGTTATAATATGTTGAAAATTAAAGATGAAATTGATGAAACAGAAAAATACTTTTTTCAAACAACATTTGGAGCCGTTGAACCAAAACCGTTGGATGTGCCGTTTGAAAACAATGAAATATCTACAACAGAGGAGTATTTGGTGAAGAATGAAGTCGACAATACTTATGAGTAAGGCTATTTGTATTAATATTTTGTGTTTACTAAATAAAACAAAAAAGCTTTTGTAATGCTGTAGTCCTCAGTAATTAAAAAAAAAAATTAAATCAATGTCCTTAATAATTTACAAAATAGTATTAATAATATTGTTTAAATAATTATTTTCAACGTTAAAAAAAGTAAAGAGATATTTAAACTTTCCTTGAGTAACCTAATCCACTTATTATTACCCTCTTTTATACTTAGCTTGTTTTTTGAGCTATTATAGATGATTAGTGTGTATAGTATTTTGTATAGTCATATGTTTATAGTATTATGGTTTATATTATATAAACGTTAGAGATTATTTTACTTGTTAACAATACGTCAACATTTTCAGTAAATTATCTCTTTTAAAATAATTGTTTGGTAAATACTATTTCGGTTATGTATAAACAATACATGTTAAAGGATCAAGTTAGTTGGTCAAATAGGCTATCGCCTAGCATAAATCTTTATGGTATTAGCTTTTTATCTACAAGTCTTACTTGTAGTTTTGTGTTATTGATCTAATTAAGATAAATTAAAATTTAGTTTTAAATGTTTAAAAAACACAAAATATACCTATGAACTTGTAATTATGTTGTTCTCCTCTATAAACCCTTCGTTGGTATCGATGTTAGCATTCCGTTATTAAACTTATTATAGGAACTACTTGTTCATATAATAATAGATTGTTTTAAAACTACATCTACCTCTTATAAATATAAAGTTAAATCAAAATATTAAAAAAAAAAATTGTATTTGATTAATTTGTGGGTATGATGTCTGCAATATTACATTATGTTAGTGTACGCTCGCACGATACATACCGTGTTATATTTAATATAAATATATAGAAAACTTTTTTACTATTATTTTTCAACTTATGAATTATGCTGTCCCACTCCATAACCCCATCGTTGGTATCGATGTTAGCGTTTCGCTATCATTAAACTTATTTTAGAAACCACTTATACATATAATACCAGATTGTTTTAAAACCGCATCTACCTCTTATCAATATAATGTTAAATCAAAGTATCAAAAAAAAAAAAAATTGTTATTTATTCGTGGGTATGATGACCGGTCGACGTCTGCAGAATCGCATAATGTCAGCTTACGCTTGCGTTTGCATGAGACTTACCGTGTTTATTTATATACATATATAAAAACATTCATACATTAAAATAGAAAAAAAATGCGAACATGAGTAATTTTTTAAAATAAAAACTTAATGTTGTCTTGCATGTCAATAATTTATTATAAGTTTTATTAGCAGCGCTGGAAGGTGGTTTATGGTTCTACGTTGTGTGAGTACCTATTGTTTTGTATTTCTAATTTATATACATTATTGCCGCGTTTACTGTCTCCCGCGGACTTAAAACACTGCTTTTGAATAAAAAGAATCATAATTTATTTGGTAGCTTGTTACTTATTATTTATACGGAGTTGAGTAGAGTAATATAGGATCAACACCATTTTAAAGTAATCTAGTCGGCAAAATGGCCAATCGTCTAGCTTTGATCTTTATTGTGTTAGCTTCTTACCTATAAGCCATGCTTGTAGCTTTGTGTTATTCATCTAATTCGAGTAAATTAAAATTAAGATTTAAATGTTTAAACAAACAAAATATACTACTGAAAACTCAGTGGTTTTTTACAAGTAATGTAAACTAAATTATTCTTTACTATATCATTATTATTACTTTATTTGTTACTTAATAAAATAGTTAAAACTGCAATTTAGTAGTCCTATTTAAACCTCTATGCATATGTGGTACAGAAATACAACTAAAGTTCAATGTCAATTACAGAGTTTTGAAACGGTATAATATGTTGAATATTAAACCTGAAAATGACGATGCAGAAGAATACTCCGTTCAACCAAAACCGTTTGATGTGCTGTTCAAAAACAATGAAATATCTATAGAAGAGGATTATTTGGTAAAGAATGATGTCGATGATACTTATGAGTAAGGCGATTTTTAGTACCTTTTTTTTTATCTTGAACAAAACTATTAAATTTTGTGCCTGATAGTATCAATATAAGCGTTTCGATAACATTAAACTTATATTAGGAACCAATTGTTCATTTAATAATAGTTTGATTGTTTTAAAACTACATCTACCTGTTATCAATATAAAAATCCATTAAAATATTTAAAAAAAAAAAATTGTAAACATTTAATTTGTGGGTATGTTGTCTGCAGCACCACATTATGTTAGCGTAAGTTTTGAACGATACTTACCGAGTTATTTATATAAATATATAGAAAACATTTTTACAATTATTTTTCATTCTTTTATTAATTTAAAAAAAATGCGAATAAATGTCATTTTTTATTACAAAAACTATATATTAAAATTCATGTTTTTTTACTATCAAAAATTTAATTTAAGTTAAATAGACATTTTTTAAGAATAGATTAGGCTATCTAATTTTTTTAAAATTTTTAATATTTCCAATTTTTGCATTTAGAATGTATACTAAATTATCTTTATTATATCATTAGTAGACTATATTTGTTACTAAATAAAATAATTAAAATTGTGAATTTAGTTGTCCTACTAATCCTCTATGCATATATAGCACAAAAATACAACTAATGTTAAATGTCAATTATAGAGTTTTGAAGCGGTTTAATATATTGAAAATTAAACCTGAAAATGATGAAACAGAAGAAGAGTTGTTGGAAAAATCGTTTGAAGTCGTTCAAACTAAACCGTTAGATATGCAGTTCTTAAACAATGAAATTTCTACAACAAAAGAGTGTTTGGTAAAGAATGAAGTCGACAATAATTATGAGTAAGGTTATTTTTAATACCATTTTTTTTTTCTTGAACAAAACTTTAATACTTTTGTAATTATGTTATCCTCCTCCATAAACCCATCAGTGGTATCGATGTTAGCGTTTCGCTAATATTTAACTTATATTAGGAACCACTTGTTCATATAATAATATATTATTTTAAAACCGCATCTACCTCTTATCAATATAATGTTAAATCAAAGTATCAAAAAAACAAAATTATGAAAACATTTATTTGTGGGTTTGATGTCCGGTCAACGTCTGCAGCATCGCATGATGTTAGGGTACGTTTGCGTTGGCATAAGAAGTACTGGGTTTTTTTTATATACATATATAGAAAACATTCATACATTAAAATATAAAAAAATGCGAACTGGTGTCATTTTTTAAAATAAACCTTAATGTTAACAGTTATAAAAAAAAATAATGTAATAAGTAATGGGGTTTTGTTTAATTTGTATTAAATACATTTTTTAATTATCATAAATAAAAATTAAAAGTTGAACGGAAAATTTTAATGAAATAGACTTTAAGTAATGTCCTCATAGTAAAATACTTAAAACTTTATAAAAATATTATTAATTAGTTACATTTTGTTTTCTTTTCAAAGAGGTATTTATTATATGGATATGTCTCGTTTCTTATTTCTAATATTATATCTCTACATTTTGTATCTACAATATCGTACATTTTATATCTTATCTATAATATCTCTAATCGCATATCTCTAATTTTTAGCCAGACATTAAATATTGTTTATCAGCTGTTTCATTCACAAAACATCCGCTTAATCGCGCAACACGCACACATTTTCCTCGGTAGCGTTCAGCGTCATTCCAGCATGCACGCAAAGATTTTCTTAATATCCCCAAGTCAAAAGACATATCCATGTCAAAAATATAGTTTAGTCGTTTATGAGAATTTATTTTTATTCCTGCCAAGTTTAAGGTTAAAAGACGTCGGTCATAAAAAGTCTCAAGGTACTCTATGTAAAAGTGGACTTTAGATAGAGTACACTTTTTAAGTTTTAAATCTTATGGCACTCGGATGTTTATTGTCCATATTCTAATAAATGTGAACGTTACATTGTATTATGTATAATAAGTTTAGGCAACTCGATAAGTAATAGAAGATCTTTGTATATCATGTAAAATCAATAAAATTAATTCTTAAAAAGGATGCGTGTATGATGGATTGTACATTTAATATTAGTAATATTAATGCTTGCTGCATAACATCAATATTTGTCCTAAATTAATCTGTTTTGTTTCATACGTGTTGCAGTATTCATTTTTCGTGTAATGCGACCGATACCTCAAAAAATACAAAAACCAAAGATTGCAGTTTTATTGAAACTATAAAAAACAATTCTAAGAAAAATATGTACAAAATACGTCGGTTCGACTGCAATATATGTCAAAGGAGGTTTACAACCAAAAATAATATAATTCGGCATATTGCGAAATCGCATTCCAGTACTTCCATTGGAAATAAAACACCTCAAAAAAATAAAGTCAATCATCGTATCAGCAAAATCAAAGGAAATACTCTAAACATAGATGGCTTATTTAAATGTGGAATTTGTTTGAAAACGTTTTTATTAAAATCAAGCCTGAGAAGACATTGGCGCGTTCATACCGGGGAGAAACCATTTAAATGCCGTGTCTGTGAAAAAGCATTTATTCAACAATCTGGTCTCAAGAGACATGCACGTGTACATACCGGCGAGAAACTATTTAAATGCGTTGTCTGTGAAAAAACATTTCGTCAACAATCTCATCTCAAGAGACATGCACGGATACATACCGGTGAGAAACCATATAAATGCGTTGTCTGTGAAAAAACATTCAATCAACAAATTCATCTCAAGTACCATGCACGTATTCATACCGGCGAGAAACCGTTTAAATGCGATGTCTGTGAAAAAACGTTTGGTAGAGAACATCACCTAAAAGCTCATGAACGCATACATACCAGCGTAAAACCGTTTAAATGCGATGTCTGTGAAAAAACATTTCGTCAACAATCTCATCTCAAGAGACATGCACGGATACATATTGGTGGGGTACGATATACCCCACGATAACACCTCAAAAAAATAAAGTCAATCATTGTATCTGCAAAATCAAAAGAAATAATCCAAACAAAGATGGCCTATTTTCATTAAAATCAAGCCTGAGAAGACATTGACGCGTTCATACCGGCGAGAGACCATTTAAATGCCGTTTCTGTGATAAAGCATTCAGTCAATATTATATTATAATAGTCATAATTCATGAACGCATACATACCAGTTAGAAACCATATAAATGCGATGTCTGTAAAAAATGTTTTAATATACAATCTAACTTCAAAACTCACGAAAGAAGACATACCGGTGAGAAACCTTATAAATGTGTTGTTTGTGAAAAAACATTTCGTCAACAATCTCATCTCAAGAGACATGCACGGATACATATTGGTGGGGTACAACACAAATGCTCAGTCTGTGATAAATCATATGGTCGCCAAGATACTCTCAAAAGTCATCAAGCAAAAGCACACGTGGCTATTTGGCAGTTATAAAATAGGTTTTGAATCTATTTGTTATTATTTGCAATTTTTTTTACTTGGAATTTAATTCAGATTTAATATATTTTTATTAGTTTCCTTAAAATGTTTTAAATATTACTATCGTTTAACTGATCAATCATATATACACTTGCACAAAGACATTTAGTGAAACCAATGTGTTTTTATACGCACTCAACATGTTATTAAATTTGGCAATTTAGTTTCACTGTTAAAAATTGAGTAGTTGAAGATTGTACAAACATTACCAATAGATACCAATGTATTAAGTATTTATGTAAGTTGATAGAAATATATGTATCCATATAAATTTACTTTTTATTTTCTTGACTAAAATGAACAAACATATGCTTAAATCGAAAACTGTGTAAACAAATATTTTCTATAAACTGTTATATATTATATAGCATAATATTAATATTATTTAACACAATATAATTGATTTAGGTATCTTATTAAACTTGTTTGAAAAAGTAACTTTCTTCTATTATTATTTTAGGCTGTTCTTGGCAGACAATATTTACTGATTGTAATATTTTCTACAATAATTGTGCTTTGTTAAGCGTTTTTAAACACACAAAAAACAAAAGAATGTGAGACCAAATTTGTAAAATCAATACACTCTCAGCTCCGCATCGATACTGGACATTTTTTTATATTTAATATGCTTTGTGTTTTGACTCGATATTGACTCGATGCGTTTTTCTAGTTCATTTCTTCTACTTTCTTAATCTAAAATAACCCACTAAAATTAACGTATTTTCAACTTGATACTATACATAGTCTCTGGCGTATCCAAATTTAGCGAAATGAGTGAATGTAACTAATTCTAGCTTTATTCGTTATTTTTTACCTTTTTGGGTAAATAAAGTTTACTTCGTTTTTAAAACTTCAAAATTTAAGTTTTTTAAAATGTAGAGTATATTCTATTAACTTTTTATATTAAAATTTATTTATTACCCATTATAGTTAAAACGTTAAATGAAGTTTTTGCAAAAAATTACTTATGCCGAAGTGAATTGCTTAATAAATAAAAGGTAAAACGTCTTTTTAACTAAACATGTTAAACATTTTTTCATTGAAATAAACACTCAAGAAACAGAAACTTATTCAGTAACAGTATCTATATATGGTTAATAAGTGTATTGAGTGCGAATAAATATAACACTGTCACTACTAACCAAATGTAAATATTATATTTAAATAAAATAAAATAATAATATTTAACAATAAACAAAATATACAACGTAACACAACTATAAAACAATACGAGAGATGTCGCAAGACGGTGTATCGAGTGAGACTGTGTTTCGACAGAATGCGATTGTTGAACTGAACTGACTGTCTGGTGGTACGGCGCTTAGATAGGCCACAGAATATTCTCGGGGCGGCAATTGCGGTGTGTGAGAACGCTCGGGATGATTCTCGCGGAGACGTGACGGCGGCGGCCATGCAACACGTGTTGCACGGCGCGACCGTTCTAGAACATTCGCGAGCGCTCACCACATATATAACATAACAGTATATAATACACATGTTTATGTAATTTCACATTGATAACTTATTTTGTTCTTCATATTTAGCCCCATCCCCATGCAATCCGATATATGGCCAGGGTGAGGATTTTCTTTTAATTACCGAATATCAAAACTTGTTTGAAAATAATTAGTCGTTTTAAAATTTGTAATAATTACTTAAACAAATAAATTTGAATATGAAATAAAATTGTATTCACAGTTTCAAAAATGTACTATCTGCCATATGGTCAAGGTGAAAAACAACAAAGAGTTAAATATTAATTTTACCAGTACATTTTCCCCTTACTTTTGTGATGACATTTCTACGAACAAATAATATAATATGTTATTGCCAATAGAACAAAGAGTACTGAATACTGCTAGAAATATACAGTATTACACGAGCAATTTAATTAACCTACTATCAGTTGACATGGATTAACTAATATGAGGAGTTAATTAATAACTTATTATTTTCATTATATTTAGAATTTAGATACTCATTCACCATGTCTTCAACCTCCAGACTCCATCATGTCACTGAGAGTGTGAACCTAAGCCCTACCATTAAATCGATAAGGTAACTTAAGTTTTAGGTAAATATACACTAAGTTTATATACTAATATATATAATATAAATATATATATATATATATTATGTAAAATGTTTGTATTATTATTACATTGTTATATTGAGAGTAACACAAAATTAGTAATACTAACAATACATTTTCTTGAGATTTTATGAAAAGACAAAACTAACTTGTATACGGATAGAATAGTTTTTTTTAAATGTGAGATTTTCTTTTATGATAAAAAAAACCAAGTAATTTGAATAATCCAACTATTAACACAAAAGCCAGCACATATTTAGTTTCTCGAAAAAAATGTACGCTTAGTGCACATTTCACTTAAACAATTATAATATTATAGCAAAAATAAAAGTTTAAAAAAAATCATTTTAATTCTACTACTTTGCCTATGTTGAGGCTCGTTTAAGACAGTGTAGTTAAAATGAAAAGTATATTTCACTAAGACTAAATACAGTCTAATGGTTAAACACTTTTAGAAATATAGTATAATTGTTTATAGTTGTTAAATAATGCATTTGGGAAAAAAGGGTTTTATTGTGTTATTTCTTTTATTAAGCTTTGATACAAGAGTTTGGAATTTAATTAATTTGCCTCTTGAAATGCACGAGAGTTTACCTTCACGCTACAAAGTACCTCCATCTGTGGCAATCACTCGTTATCAAGCAAACGCACACTATCACAAATCTGTCCATACAATTTCTGCGTTGTGTCGCGCACCGTGCAGTTTGCATTAAAATCACAATTGAAATAAAAGTTTTGATTTTTAATTAAGATTAAAATTTGTACACTCTGCTGAAGTTCTGTAAATCAAGCTAGTTAAATTCGATTTAACGCCATAGGAAAAGTGTGTCCATGGCAGATAAGGCCTTAGGTAAACTTATTAATTTTATAGGATGTCGATGAAGGTTAGTTTACAAAAAGCTTTAATACAAGTGTTGGGGTATTGATTTGTTTGCCTCTTAAAAAGCACGACAGTTTACCTCCATGCTACAAAGTACCTCCATCTGTGGAAATGACTCGTTATCACACAAACACACACTATTTGTCCATACAATTTCTGCGTTGTCGTGCACTGTGCGGTTTGCATTAAAATCACAATTATTATAAAATAAAAGTTTTGATTTTGTTAGTAATTAAGATTTATTTTTGTACACTCTGAAGTTGTGTAAATCAAACTAGTTAAATTAGATTTAGCAATTTGTTTTCTGTATTGTCGCCACGGGTTTGATTCGTGAACAACTCTAGATTTTCATCATAATAACTTGGTCGAATTCTGTGATAAATACCAAACGTATTACGTTGTGTTTCTTTATTTCGTTTCAAGTTGCATTATATTTGTGTTTTGTCTTGCATGTCAATAATTTTTACAAGTTTTTATTAGCAGCTCTGGAAAGCAGTGAGTAACGTAATCCACTTATCTTTTCCTTTTTCTATACTTATAGCTTGTTTTTAGGCTATTATAAAACATAAGGGATTATATTATTTATATTAATATATACATATATGATACATAAGTAAACATTATTACCACTTTAAATTTAGTCGGCCAAATGAGCTATTATCCAGCTTAAATCTTTATGGTATTAGCTTTTTATCTAAAAGTCATACTTGTAGTTTTGTGTTATTGATCTAATTAAGATAAATTAAAATTTCGTTTTAAATGTTTAAAAAACACAAAATATACCTATGAACTTGAATTATGTTGTTCTCCTCTATAAACCCTTCGTTGGTATCGATGTTAGCGTTCCGTTATTAAACTTATTATAGGAACCACTTATACATATAATACCAGATTGTTTTAAAACCGCATCTACCTCTTATCAATATAATGTTAAATCAAAGTATCAAAAAAAAAAAAAATTGTTATTTATTTGTGGGTATGATGACCGGTCGACGTCTGCAGAATCGCATAATGTCAGCTTACACTTGCGTTTGCATGAGACTTACCGTGTTTATTTATATACATATATAAAAACATTCATACATTAAAATAGAAAAAAAATGCGAACAGGTGTAATTTTTTAAAATAAAAACTTAATGTTAACAGTTATAAAAAAAAAATAATGTAATAAGTAATGGGGTTTAGTTTAATTTTTATTAAATACATTTTTTAATTATCATAAATAAAAATTTAAAGTTGATAGAAAATTTTAATGAAATAGACTATAAGTAATGTCCTCATAGTAAAATACTTAAAACTTTATAAAAATATTATTAATTAGTTACATTTTGTTTTCTTTTCAAAAAGGTATTTATTATATGGATATGTCTCGTTTCTTATCTCTCATATTTTATTTCTAATATTATATCTCTACATTTTGTATCTACAATATCGTACATTTTATATCTTATCTATAATATCTCTTATCGCATATCTCTATTTTTTAGCCAGACATTAAAAATTATTTATCAGTTCTTTAAGTTACAAAACATCCGCTTAATAGCGGCACACGCACACATTGTCTTTTGTAACGTTCAGTGCCATTCACGCACGCACGCAAAGATTTTCTTAATGTCCCTGATCCAAAAGCCATATTCATGTTAAAAATATAGTTTAGTCGTTTATGAGAATTTATTTTATTTCTGCCGAGTTAAGGGTTAAAAGACGTCGGTCATTTAAATGTCTTAAGGTACTCAATGTAAAAGTGGACTTTAGATAGAGTACACTTTTTAAGTTTTAAATCTTATGGCACTCGGATGTTTATTGTCCATATTCTAATAAATGCGAACGTTACATTGTATTTTATAGGATAAGTTTAGGCAACACAATCAAATAAAAATAGCCTTAATAGTAGATTATTGTATGTCATGTAAAATCAATAAAATGAATTCTTAAAAATGATGCGTTGTACATTTAATATTAGTAATATTAATACTTGCTGTATAATATCAAAGTATATTTGTCTTAAATTAATCTATTATATTCCATACATGTTGCAGTATTCATTTTCCGTGTAAAGCGACCGATTCCTTAAACAAAACAAAAACCATGGATTGCAGTTTGAACAAAACTATAGAAAACGATTCTGAGAAAAACATACACAAAATACACTGCAAGTTCGACTGTAATATATGTCAAAGAAGGTTTACAACCAAAAGTAATATAATCCGGCATATTGCGAAATCGCATTTTATTTCTTTGCCTCCTAAATTGCAAGACCGTTTACCTCCACGCTACAAAGTACCTCCATATGTGGCAATCACTTGTTATCACACAAACACACACTATCTGTCCATATAATTTCTGCGTTGTCATTCAGTTTTCATTGGAATCACATCTAATGTGATGATTGTTGGTATCACCACCTACTCTACCGCAGTGAAACGCTGGCAACGCGGTGTCGGTTGGTACCACTACCCATTGTACCCCCACCTGCGCCGGGAGAAGCGTAAGGACGATGCCGCAGCCATTTTTGGTCCGCCATTCGATAATCTCACACGACTTCGTCTACACGCTTGGCGTCTTTTTTCCAAGCAGACATTCTGTTAATAACTTTGTGCTGTACACGTTAGGTAAATATACAAGCTGTTATATTTAAATAAATAAAACAGCCAATTTGTTTGCAGTATTGGTGCCACGGGTCCGACTCGTGAACATCTCTAGATTTCAATCATAATAACTTGGTCGAATTCTACGATAAATACCTTAAGTATTGCGTCGTGTTTCGTTATTTCGTTACAATTGTGTTTTGTCTTGCATGTCAATAATTTATTATAAGTTTTATTAGCAGCGCTGGAAGGTGGTTTATGGTTCTACGTTGTGTGAGTACCTATTGTTTTGTATTTCTAATTTATATACATAATTGCCGCGTTTACTGTCTCCCGCGGACTTAAAACACTGCTTTTGAATTAAAAGAATCATAATTTATTTGGAAGCTTGTTACTTATTAGTTATCCGGAGTTGAGTAGAGTAATATAGGATCAACACCATTTTAAAGTAATCTAGTCGGCAAAATGGCCAATCGTCTAGCTTTGATCTTTATTGTGTTAGCTTCTTACCTATAAGCCATGCTTGTAGCTTTGTGTTATTCATCTAATTCGAGTAAATTAAAATTAAGATTTAAATGTTTAAACAAACAAAATATACTACTGAAAACTCAGTGGTTTTTTACAAGTAATGTAAACTAAATTATTCTTTACTATATCATTATTATTACTTTATTTGTTACTTAATAAAATAGTTAAAACTGCAATTTAGTATCCTATTTAAACCTCTTTGCATAAGTGGTACAGAAAAAAACAACTAAAGCTCAATGTCAATTACAGAGTTTTGAAACGGTAAAATATGTTGAATATTAAACCTGAAAATGACGATGCAGAAGAATACTCCGTTGAACCAAAACCGTTTGATGTGCTGTTCAAAAACAATGAAATAACTATAGTAGAGGATTATTTGGTTAAGAATGAAGTAGATGATACTTATGAGTAAGGCGATATTTATTACCATTTATTTTATCTTAAACAAAACTATTAAAACTTGTGCCTGATGGTATCAATATAGGCGTTTCGCTAACATTAAACTTATATTAGGAAACATTTGTTCATTTAATAATAGATTGATTGATTTAAAACTACATCTACCTCTTATCCATATAGAGATCCATTAAAATATTTAAAAAAACAAAATTGTAAACATTTTATTTGTGGGTGTGTTGTCTGCAACACCAAATTATGTTAGCGTAAGTTTTGTACGATACTTACCGAGTTATTTATATAAATATATAGAAAACATTTTTACAATTATTTTTCATTCTTTTATTAAGTTAAAAAAAAATGCGAATAAGTGTCATTTATTCTTACAAAAACTATATATTAAAATTTATGTTTTTTACTATTAAAAATTTAATTTATGTTAAATAGAAATTTTTATGAATAGATTAGGTAATCTAATTTTTTTTGAATTTATTATATGATTAATTTTCGCATTTAGAATGTAAACTAAATTATCTTTATTATATCATTAGTAGACTTTATTTGTTACTAAGTAAAATAATTAAAATTGTTCAATTTAGTTGTCCTACTAATCCTCTATGCATATATAGCACAGAAATACAACTAATGTTTAATGTCAATTATAGAGTTTTGAAGCGGTTTAATATATTGAAAATTAAACCTGAAAATGATGAAACAAAAGAAGAGTTGTTGGAAAAATCGTTTGAAGTCGTTGATACTAAACCGTTAGATATAAAGTTCATAAACAATGAAATTTCTACAACAAATAAGTGTTTAGTAAATAATGAAGTCGACAATAATTATGAGTAAGGTTATTTTTATTACCATTTTGTTTTTCTTGAACAAAACTTTAATACTTTTGTAATTATGTTATCCTCCTCCATAAACCCATCAGTGGTATCGATGTTAGCGTTTCGCTATTATTTAACTTATATTAGGAAATGCTTGTTTATATAATAATATATTATTTTAAAACCGCATCTACCTCTTATCAATATAATGTTAAATCAAAGTATCAAAAAAACAAAATTGTGAAAACATTTAATTGTGGGTTTGATGTCCGGTCAACATCTGCAGCATCGCATGATGTTAGCGTACGTTTGCGTTGGCATAAGAAGTACCGGTTTTTTTTATATACATTTATAGAAAACATTCATACATTAAAATAGAAAAAAAAAATGCGAACATGTGTCATTTTTTAAAATAAAATTTTAATGTTAACAGTTATAAAAAAAAAACAATGTAATAAGTAATGGGGTTTTGTTTAATTTTTATTAAATACATTTTTTAATTATCATAAATAAAAAATAAAAGTTGATATAAAATTTTAATGAAATAGACTATAAGTAATGTCCTCATAGTAAAATACTTAAAACCTTATAAAATATTATTAATTAGTCACATTTTGTTTTCTTTTCAAAGAGGTATTTATTATATGGATATGTCCCGTTTCTTATCTCTCATATTTTATTTCTAATATTATATCTCTACATTTTGTATCTACAATATCGTACATTTTATATCTTATCTATAATATCTCTGATCGCATATCTCTAATTTTTAGCCAGACATTAAAAATTATTTATCAGCTGTTTCATTCACAAAACATCCGCTTAATCGCGCCACACGCACACATTTTCCTCGGTAGCGTTCAGCGTCATTCAAGCATTTTATTAATGTCCCCAAGCCAAAAGACATATCCATGTCAAAAATATAGTTAAGTCGTTTATGAGAATTTATTATTATTTCTGTCAAGTTTAAGGTTAAAAGACGTCGGTCATAAAAAGTCTCAAGGTACTCTATGTAAAAGTGGACCTTAGATAGAGTACACTTTTTAAGTTTTAAATCTTATGGCACTCGGATGTTTATTGTCCATATTCTAATAAATGTGAACGTTACATTGTATTATGTAGGATAAGTTTAGGCAACTCGATCAAATAAAAATTGAGTAAAGAAGACTTTTGTATGTCATCTAAAATTAATCAAATTAATTCTTAAAAAGGATGCGTTGTATATTTAATATTAAAACTTGCTATATAACATCAAAATATATTTTTCTTATATTAATTTGTTTTGTTTCAAACGTGTTGCAGTATTCATTTTTCGTGTAAAGCGACAGATATCTCAAATAATACAAAGACAATGGATTGTAGTTTTAACGAAACTATAGATAATCATTTTCAGAAAAATATATACAAAATACGTCGGTTCGACTGCAATATGTGTCAGAGGAGGTTTACAACCAAAAGTAATATAATCCGGCATATTACGAAATCGCATTCCATTGAAAAGAAAACACCTCAAAAAGTCAATCATCGTAACAGCAAAATCAAAGGAAATACTCGAAACAAAGATGGCCTATTTAATTGTGGTATTTGTTTGAAAACGTTTTCATTAAAATCAAGCCTGAGAAGACATTGGCGCGTTCATACCGGGGAGAAACCCTTTAAATGCGATATCTGTGAAAAAACATTTGGTAGACAACATCACCTCAAGATTCATAAACGCACACATACCGTCGAAAAACCGTTTAAATGCGATGTCTGTCAAAAGGCTTTTTGCGACCAATCTTACATCAAAATTCATAAAAGGATACATACCGGCGAGAAGCCCTTTAAATGCAATATTTGTGAAAAAAAATTTGGTCAGATATCTCACCTCAAAACTCATGAACGCATACACACCGCCGAGAAACCTTTTAAGTGCGATGTCTGTGAAAAAACATTCAGTCATCAATCTGCTCTCAAGAGACATGCACGTATTCATACCGGCGAGAAACCGTTTAAATGCGATGTCTGTGAAAAAACATTTAGTCTACAACAAAGTCTTAAAAAACATGAAAGGATACATACTGGTGAAAAACCTTATAAATGCGTTGTCTGTGAAAAAACATTCAGTCAACAAACTCATCTCAAGAACCATGCACGTATTCATACCGAAGAGAAACCCTTTAAATGCGATGTCTGTGAAAAATGTTTTAATATACAATCTAACCTCAAAGTTCATGAAAGAACACATACCGGCGAGAAACCATTTAAATGCGATGTCTGTGAAAAAACATTCAGTTTAAAGTCCTCTCTCATAACTCATGAACGCATACATATTGGTGGGGTACGACACAAATGCTCAGTCTGTGACAAATCATATGGTCGCCAAGATTCCCTCAAAAGTCATCAAGCAAAAGCACATGGCTCATAGATTCATAAACCTTACGTGACTATTTGGCAGTTTTTCAAAATCGATTTGTTATTATTTTGCAATTTTTTTTACTTACGACTTATTTCAGATTTAGTATACTTTTATTAGTTTTCTTATAATATTTAATTTATTACTATCGTTTAACAGATCAATAACATAAGTATTAGTTTTTAATTTATTTTTTCGACGGATCACATGAATTATTTAGTATTAATATTTTTATAATGTATTTTTTAATTTTCATAATCTACACACACAAAATGCTAAACAATTTTGTTACTATTCTTATTTTTTATTATAAATTGTTAGTAGTCTTTTTAGTTACAGATAGTTTTGAAGAGAATGGTTTATAATATATGTTAATTTGTATTTTAAAATTGATTTTTAATTTAAAATATTTGTTAATTTTTAAGCGTTGAATTATGCGAACCGTGTTTAAAATCAAAATAAAATATTTTATTATTTCGTCAATTATGATTACATTATGTTAGTTTCATTCATATTTTTAGAATAAGTTTTTCGTTTTTTTAATTCGAAGAATTATTAAGATTGAACCTGACCATTATTAATAAATGTCATTCGGGAAAGTAAGGAGAATATGCCTACTTCAATATATACGTTTATTATTAAATAATTAGTAAAAATAATTAGTAAAAATAATTTTGTTCAATATATTTGTGTGATTAGTTCCCAAGAAAACATAATACCGTGTTTGAGAGTAATAACATTAGTTTTATATTGAGACTTTTTTTTTATAAACATCTTTTTCAAATAATTACTAAATATTGGAATTTTAAAAGATTTATGTAAATGGATAAATTATATGACTATAATAAACAATCTGTTTAAGTGTTCGTCAAATATCGTCTATGTTTGAAGAACTATTCGTAAGTGCCACTTTTGTTTGGGCATGCACCATTTTGACGTGGCTAAACATGTTCGTCTAAGACATCGGCTATCCGCCTCTTTGATTGTGACATATTTAATTTGACGGGTTGTTAAATTACTCCGCCTTGTTGAGGCTCGTTTAAGACAATTTAGTTAAAATGAAAAGTATATTTCACTAAGACTAATACAGTCTAATGGTTAAAGACTTTTAGAAATATAGTATAATTGTTTAGTGTTTTAAATCGTAAAATATAGAAGCATTTGAAAAAAAAAGGGTTTTATTGTGTTATTTCTTTTATTAAGCTTTGATACAAGAGTTTGGAATTTAATTTATTTGCCTCCGAAAATGCACGACAGTTTACCTTCACGCTACAAAGTACCTCCATCTGTGGCAATCACTCGTTATCAAACAAACGCACACTATCACAAATCTGTCCATACAATTTCTGCGTTGTATCGTGCACTGTGCAGTTTGCATTAAAATCACAATTGAAATAAAAGTTTTGATTTTTAATTAAGATTAAAATTTGTACACTCTGCTGAAGTTCGGTGAATCAAACTAGTGAAACAATTAGATTGAGCGCCCTAGGTACAATTGGTTTTCTGTATTGTCGCCACGGCCCCGCTTCGTAAGAATATCTAGATTTTAATCATAATTACTTGGTCGAATTCTGTGATAAACACCTAACGTACTGCGTTGTGTTTCTTTATTTCGTTTCAAGTTGCGTTACAATTGAGTTTTGTCTTGCATGTCAATAGTTTATTATAAGTTTTCAGTAGCAGCCCTGGAAAGCGGATTACGGTTCTACGTTGTGTGAGTACCTATTGTTTTGTATTTCTAATTTATATACATTATTGCCGCGTTTACTGTCTCCCGCGGACTTAAAACACTGCTTTTGAATAAAAAGAATCATAATTTATTTGGTAGCTTGTTACTTATTATTTATCCGGAGTTGAGTAGAGTGATATGGGATCAACACCATTTTTAATTAATCTAGTCGGCAAAATGGGCAATCGTCTAGCTTTGATCTTTATTGTGTTAGTTTCTTACCTACAAGTCATGCTTGTAGCTTTGGGTTATTAATCTTACTTTATTTGTTACTTAATAAAATAGTTAAAATTGTGCAATTTATTTGTTTATGCTACAAAGTACCTCCATCTGTGGCAATCACTCGTTATCACACAAACACACACTATTTGTCCATACAATTTCTGCGTTGTCGTGCACTGTGCGGTTTGCATTAAAATCACAATTATTATGAAATAAAAGTTTTGATTTTGTTAGTAATTAAGATTTATTTTTGTACACTCTGCAGTTCTGTAAATCAACCTAGTTAAATTAGATTTAGCGCCATAGGTACAATTTGTTTTCTGTATTGTCGCCACGGGTCCGATTCGTGAACATCTCTAGATTTTAATCATAATAACTTGGTCGAATTCTGTGATAAATACCTAACGCACTACGTTGTTTCTTTATTTTGTTTCAAGTTACAATTGAGTTTTGTCTTGCATGTCAATAATTTATTATAATTTTTTATTAGCAGCTCTGGAAGGCAGTTTACGGTTCTACGTTGTGTGAGTACCTATTGTTTTGTATTTCTAATTTATATACATTATTGCCGTGTTTACTGTCTCCCGAGGACTTAAAACACTGCTTGTGAATAAAAAGAATCATAATTTATATTTGGTTGCTTATTACTTAATATTTACCCGGAGTTGAGCAGAGTTATATGGGATCAACACCATTTTTAATTAATCTAGTTGGCAAAATGGCCAATCGTCTAGCTTTGATCTTTATTGTGTTAGCTTCTTACCTATAAGTCATGCTTGTAATTTGTCAATTATAGAGTTTTGAAGCTGTATAATATGTTCAAAATTAAACCTGAAAATGACGATGCAGAAGAATGCTCCTTTGAAAAATCTAAACCGTTAGATGTGCTGTTCATAAACAATTCAATTTCTACAACAGAGGAGAATTTGGTAAAGAATGAAGTCGACAATACTTATGGGTAAGGTGATATTTATTAAAAAATAATTTTTATCTTAAATAAAACTATTAACTGGTGTTTATGTTGTTCTCCTCTATACACCTAACGTTGTTATCCATGTTAGCGTTCTGCTATTAAACTTATATTAGGAACTACTTGCTAATATAATAATAGATTGTTTTATAACTGCATTTACCTCTTATCAACATATTGTTAAATCAAAGTATAAAAAAAAAAAAAAATTGTAAACATTAATTGGTGGGTATGATGACCGGTTTACATCTGCAGTATCGCATTATTGTTAGCGTACGTTAGCATGGGACTTAAATGTGTTATACATATAAATGACAAAGATGGGAGTAGTAGTAATTTGGGGCTTTACCGCCTATTTTTACAAATTATAGTTTAACCTTATATATTGTTTAGTATAGAAAATTATTTGTAACATTGAGTGTTTTACTAAATAAGAAGTGGAAGAAATAAATCATATATAAACATGTTTCAAATAAATTATAGTCATTTTAATTCAATTTAAACAGTATAATAATGGATGATTATAATAGATAATGTGATGTTTTTTGTACATTAGACTATTTAGATTGGTAAACGCGTAACAAGACTTTTGATAAATGTAGTAATACACTACTTATTTCAAAGCGAGAACTTATGAGTGAAGCCGGTTTTATTTATATTGGTGATGGATCAAATGATGATGTCTCATGTTTCTATTGTCGTCAAGGTCTGAGATCTTGGGAGCCGAACGACGAACCTTGGATCGAGCATGCAAGATGGTCTCCAGATTGTGGTTATCTTCGGTTAGTGAAGGGTTGACCTCATTGATTTTAAAACCTATTAAATAAAAAAAAAAGATGTTAATTTATTACAACATTCTTACATTTAAATTAACTCTTTAAATACTAGTAAAACCATGAATTCACATTGTAGACGCAGTGGCGTAGTAGGTTAAGGCGTGACTTTCTAGGATAAATTTAATAGGATGTGGATTGATAGCACTCATGCTAGGCTAGGTAGGTTGAGGTTGAGTCATACTTTAATTCACTCCGTCACTGCGTCTACACTTTTTGCATTTTTTTTTTCCAATTTAAAAATAAAATATAGCGGTAAGAAGAGGGGGGGGGCTAATATAGTTAATCAAATGTTTTTCAAGTGTTTAGTACATAGAGTTTCGTATAGTAGTACAGTCGATGTTAAAAGTATTATTCCAAGCACAATGCCTTGTATTAAATGTAGTCTACTAGAAGCTATTTATAATTTTATAATTAAATTAGACAAAATTGAACATTCAAATATAGAAAAATCTACATCTAAAACAAAACTTGAGGAATCTTTTGAAGAAGTTCTACACCAGACAAAAGAATTACAAAATGTAAAGAATCTAAAAATTGCACAACCCATTTGGTCAATTACACTGGAATAAGTAGAAGAGGGGGTATGTTTTATACTCAAGGTTTGTATATATATATACGTCATCTTTATGCTAAAGATATAAGTAGCTAATATAGAGTTAAGTTGTACGGACGTTTATGTGCATGCTAAAATTTTATTTAAACAAAATGGCAAATGTGTTATCTAAATCTACGTTCACCATTGACCCCAAAAGAACTATCTCGGTAGGTATTCTTTTAAATAAAAAATTATCTATTATTGTTTATTTAGATTATAAAAATAGTCAAGACCAGCTAATTCTTGATGAAAAACAGTGGCGTACTCTGATGGAATTTCAAATATTCAACAACATTGTGAACACAATTCAAAACAATGCAAAGCGAATACAATTAGGTTCAGATTTTAGTTGTACTACTAACCCTAAAACAGATTCAGTGATATTACGTAATAAAAATGAACGTATGAAATTGACGCGTATAAATTTGTTAACACTTCAGATGATTTCAAATTGTATTGAAGCACATATAACTGAACGCTTAAATAAGTTGGAGTTGTATCAAAAATCTTTTAACGATATATATTCAGCTATACTTAATGATGTTAATAATTTTTCAAGTGAATGTCGACGTATCGATTTCATAACGGCTTTTGTCGCAAACTATGATTTTCAAATGTTTGCAACGGATACAAATGCGCTATTCATCCATGAATTAAAAATTAAATATGATCAAATTATAAATTTGATTATGCGAGAACTTCTAGTAACTATAGTATAATTTCGAAAAGGAAAAAAATATATATGTATTGAGAGAGGGAAAACGTATACAAGCTAATTATTTAAAAAAATATTTCACTCGTTTTAGTTTAGAAATAGCCGTCTTACAAGAAGGTATTATAATGCCTTCACATTTAGAATGCTGCTCCTGTCGAAAGTGTCGTTTGTTAAAATATATTATTATTGAAGCAACCAAAAATAGTGTTAAAATATTAAATCAAAACTTAGAAAATGATATTTCAGTATTAATTGTGAAAACGCCAGATGCTCGTCGATCCAAGCGCTTACAGAATAAAAAATTCAACAAAATCTGAGTGAACGAGGATTATTTTTAAAGTATTATTAATCTTATTAAATAATGTAATTGTATTGTGAATTTAAAAAAGTGTTTAATAAACATTCTATTAACTAATCAATTGTGTTATATATATATATTATATAATTACTCACATTTAAGTCTCATAGCGTAGAGTACACATGACAATAATTTCCAACAACTCTATCTGTTAACCTTTAAAAAAAAAATATATTGAAATATTTTTTTATTTTACTAATTTAAAATCAGCTTACAGTGATCTCTAACGTTCATGTTTTCAACAATAATAAATACCTCCCTAAAAACCCTAAAAAAAAACAGTATAATATTAATTCAACAATAATTAAAAAAATTAAACTAACTTACATATTAATCCGAATCAGTTAGCCAAATGGTTTCAATAGCTGGCTGATTAAGACGCAGAAGTGGAGGTAACACGTCTGCATCCGATTCATAAGTAACATCTGTTGATGACCCTTTTTTTTAAAAAAAAAAAAAAGAAGAAAATATTATTTTATTTCAAATAAAAAAAAATGAACTTACATGAATCTGCTAGCGAAAATATTGATGGTTCTGATGTAGACCAATTTCCAATTCCATGTTCGTCATCTGTATCCGCTAAATAAAAAAAAAGTACGTTACTTATTTTGTAAAAAAAAAAAATGTTAATATTCATTTATTAACCCATCGTTGGTAAACCTATATTGTAGAACACGATTGCTAAACTTTTTGCATTATTATTAATTACTAGTTAAACTCAGAACATTGAATCATTCAAAGAAATATGTATCTTTTTACTCACTACTAATTGATAATATGTTTTTTTTTTTGTAATTACTATTATTAGAAAATAAAAAAACTATAAGTTTATTTTTTAAAAAAATTGCATAGTACAAAAAAACCTTAAAATGTGCTCTGTGTGAGCGCCGCGCTCATATGTTTACTAACGATGGGTTAAATAAAAAAAACTTACATTCCAACCACAGTGTTGATTTACTATGAAAAGACTTTACGTCGCTACTCGAGCTCCAAAGAGAATATGAAGTCGACGAGAGCGACCGTTGACGTAGGGGTGATAATGAAAAAAAACTAGAACTGGAATTAACACTTACCGATCGACTTCGCGATGCGGTAGTATCAGTCTCAAGAGATGTGTAAGAACCTATCCGTCGCCGTTGTGTTCGGATTTTACGCGGTCGCCGCCGTCGTTTGCAACGCCTCACCGTTCTAGCAGACGATGGATAGGAATCGCTGTCCATTTTGAACTAACAGCTCTTACTCATACACTAAGTTTGATAGTAAAAAAAAAAAATCCCACTTACTTTTTAGTGAAACAGTTTCGCCTTGTAATAAATATAATCATTTGAGTCATAGCAACCATTACACAAAAAAATTACTACGATTCATTGAACAAGACACACCGCGTCAATGAAACCCTGTGGTTAGTTGTATTCTATACGCTGCGTGATCTGTGTTTATGCGGTTTATCTGGGTAATGTTCGAGTCTAGTTAACTTTCTTCACACGTGAATAAACATTAATATTATTATTATATACCTTTACTATACTACTGAAAAAAAAACAATGATTTCTAATTTAAAATATTTTATTGTAATACTATATAATCTTATCTTAACAGTATATCGTTACGTTAAAATCATACAATATTATTATTATAATGAAATGTTCTCCACCATTATTATTATTGTTATACTGCTGAAAAAAAAAACAATGATTTCTAATTTATATTAATACTATAATGATACTAATATAAAATATAACAGGTGGTATTATACCTTTGCTATACTACTGAAAAAAAAAAACAATGGTATATAAGTAAAAAATATAACTCGTCTTAACAATATATTATTACGTTAATACCATACAATATTAATATTATTATTATGAAAAGAACCTCCATCATCATGTATTTAAAATAGTTGATATAGCTGTAATAATATCATTCCTTTGTCATTTTTATTGTGCGAGATTCATCTGATAAAAAGTTCTCTCCCAATTCATCAAATAGATTTTTCAATAAATTGTTGATTTTAGAATTCGCCTTATTATTTGTAAGACCAATTTTAGCAGATCGGTTCACTTTTCGCCATCTATAAAAAAATTAATTATGCTACGTTTTGGTACCAAAATAAAAAAAAAATATGTTTTAATTATGTCACCAACGGATGGAAAATATTGAGTGTCTTTTAAAAAAAAAAAAATAGTATGAAGAATGAACATTATGATTCTTTTTTTTTTTTAGAATATCGTAACAGTCCTCACCACTCTCAAGGTATCAACACATTCAAAAACTGTTAAGGTATGGTAAACATCTACGCTTTTATTAGACCCTAAAGAAAAAATAAAAATAATTAAGGCACTAGGCAAGCCTAGCAAACATGCTAGGAGAAGAAAAAATTATAAAAATAAAATAAAAAATAAATTAGATGAAGAAATAATAAAAAAAATGTATAATACAATAAAAACAATAAAAGAAAATATTTAAATTTATCAATAATTTTGTTGTTGTATTTGTATATGATTATGTGACTATTGGTTTTATATTTCTAGTTTGAAAAAAAAAAAAAACATGAAAATTACCAAAATTATTCGTTTGAGTTCAACTAGTGATGGTTTACAAGAAATCGGAAGATTTAGGTCCAGGTCGAAAACTTTCTTTTTAAAAAATAAGTTAAAGTTTCTAGACTTTATACTTTTTTTCAAATATGCTACTACATTTATTTTACCAAAAATTAAGGATGCGTGTAAAAATAACTCAATTAAATTTAATCTTCACTTGGATTGTGTGTATGAAAATGTTTTAACTTTTGAGTTGCAAGATATTTCGTTTAAAACAAAAAACACATTCACAACATCAGGATCCGATTTTACGGTATTGTTGAATAATATATATGGTAAACTTTTGAAGGAAGAAAGTGAATTTATTGCTAAAGGCAGTGGTTGGTCTCTTCGAAATATTGATGGTATACAGCTGCGCATAAATGTTGTAAATCCTTTAGAAGGTTCATCATACATTCCTCTACCACAAAAAATTCAGGGTAGAAGAGCTATAGTTAACATAAATAATAACGACGAAAAATGTTTTAAGTATGCAATATTGTCTAAGTTTGATAGGCGTAATAATAAAAGTAAATTCTCTAAAAAATATTTTGATTATTTAGAGACTAAAAATAAATTTGATTTCAAGTGTATCACATTCCCAACTTCGATTAAAGAAGTAAGAAAATTTGCAAAGATCAATAATGTTTCCATTAACATATATGGACTAGACAGTAAATCATTAATTTATCCAATACTAGTTTCCGATATTGAAAAACGAAACCATTTTGACTTACTTTAACTTAGCAACACTTCACGACAACATTATTGCTTTATATCCAATTTTTCAAGACTTATTAAGTCTCAAAGAACTAAACACAAAGAACAAATAAATATCTGCAAATGATGTTTTACTATTTTTAACAACACACCTTGTAAGAATAAATTATGGGGGTTTGAAGGACTACGAGAACATAAAAAATTCTGTTCTCAACATAAATTAAGCAGACCAGTTATGCTTGAAGATCATGATGATTCTGTAATAAAATTTACAAATTATATAGCTACTCAACGCGTACCAATAGTGATCTATGCAGATTTTGAATGTTTTTTAAAACCTCTTATGGAACAGTCAAATGAAAAACAGAAATCTATTAAAACTTTTCAACACAAACCGATGAGTTTTGGCTTTTATGTTAAAATTGATTACACAACCATTTCACCTGAATTAGTTAATGAATTTAAAATATCTAAAAAACCAGTTATTTACAGAGGTGAAAATGCTGCCAAAAAATTTTTGGAAGCTCTTATAAAAGTCGGAGAAGAAGTAGATAAATTATATCAGACAAACATAGCAATGAATCCTTTAACTAGTGAAGAAACAAATCGATTTCAAAACGCTAGCAATTGTGAAATATATAAGCGATCTTTTATCAATACCATAAAAGTTAGAGATCACTGTCATTTTACGGGTAAATTTAGAAATGTATTATGTTTGACCTGTAATTTCAAGTTGAAAAATGTAACTTTCATTCCAATTTATTTTCATAACTTAGCGTACGATAGTCATTTCATAGTACATCAATTAGGAATAAATAACAAACGAATTGATGTTATTCCTAATTCGAGTGAAAAATATATTTCATTTAGCAAAGAAATTTCCAAAACTATGAAAATAAAATTCATAGATACGTTTAGATTTATGTCAGAGCCTTTAAGTACGCTTGCTAATAATTTAGCCGAAGACAAATCTAGGTTTAAAGAGACATTACGATTTTTTTCAATAGATAAATTAGATTTAGTATGTCGTAAAGGTTGTTTCCCCTACGAATACGTGAATAACTGGGATAAACTTGAACAGACTTATTTACCATCCAAAAAACACTTTTACAACTCACTAAATGATGAAGAAATCAGTAACCAAGATTATAACCATGCGAAAACTGTTTGGAATACATTTAGAATAAAAACTTTAGGTGAATATTCTGATCACTATCTGTTGACTGATATTTTAATATTAGCCGATGTTTTCGAGTCATTTCGAAATCTTTGTATGAACACATTTCATCTTGATGCATCACATTATTTTACAGCTCCAGGATTCGCATTCCAAGCAATGTTGAAATTTACTAATGTTGAACTTGAAAGGCTAAAAGATTATGATATGCATCTCATGCTTGAAACCGGTATTCGCGGAGGTATCTGTAACAGTGTTAAACGACACGTAAAAGCTAATATCCCTAATGTCGAGGGAATTAATTACAATCCTGATAAACCCACGTCTTGGCTTACATATTTTGACTGTGTAAACCTCTATGGGAAAGCTATGCTATCGGTTTTACCTTTTCGTAATTTCGAATGGTTAGAAGATTTATCATTAGATATTACAACAATACCAAACAATTCAAAGTATGGTTATATATTAGAAGTTGATGTTGATTACCCTGAGCATTTACACAATGATCATAACGATTTCCCATTTTTACCCGAATTTACATTCCCACCTAATTCAAAGGTGAAAAAATTGATGACTACTTTTAATCCTAAACGAAATTATGTTGTACATTATCGTTCACTGAAGCAAGCTATCGCAAACGGATTAGTTGTGACAAAAGTACATAGAATTGTTAAATTCGAGCAAAAGAAATGGATGGCACCCTACGTGAAACTTTGTACTGAAATGAGACGAAACGCAACAAATGAGTTTTAAAAAGCGTTTTGGAAACTCGCTATCAATTCTGTTTTTGGAAAATGTATGGAAAACGTGAGAAAACGTATGAATATGAAATTGGTGACAACTGATCGATAGGCACATCGTTTAATGATAAAACCTAGTTTTAAAGATCGTACAATTTATTCTAATAATCTAATGGCTATACACATGTTCAAGGAGAAACTTAAATTTGATAAACCCATATAT